ACACAAAAATTGTGAAATCCCCCGGCTCACCATTAAATCAAAAGTCGAAGCGAAACCGTTTTCGAGTAAAGAGGGTCGCAGTCGCACAGTACAGTTGCGCAAATTAGACTTGCCCCTCGGCGTATTCTAAACATGTGTGCAGCCAGAGCGGTGACGAGCGCGCAGGCCGGCCCGGAGCCCTTTCGGCGACGAGCAAACAACGCCGCCCCCCCGCGGCCCTCGCGGAGGTGGAGGGCGGGGCGGGGCGGCGCGCTCGGCTCGGCGCACAGCGGTGCGTCCCCCGCCGTGCCGCGACAACCCCAGCGCAGCCCGCGGACCCCGACGACGCGACACGACTCCCGCCGCCCGCGACCAATAATAATTGTTTTCTGCTCTGCTTTGCTCAACTTGACTTTTTATTTGGCCCCCACATTACACACAAAAAACTATTTTATTCCTCCGGCGACCCCCTTCCGAGCGCCTTGTATATTCCATATCTCCCCCGCCCCTCACCATTGTGCCGCCGGTGCGCTCGCGGGGCTGCCCGCCGCGCTGCCCGCGGCGCCGTTGTGCCCGCGCTGTCGGGAGCCCCGGCACCGCCAGGCACCGCCGCGGCCCGACTGCAGCAGCCAGGCCCACGGCGGGCTCGGCTCGGCTTGGATTTCGCGGGTCGCGTTTTGAAAAGAGGTGCGTCGACCAACCCCGCCCTCTGCTGCTGCTGACTCCACCCGTCACCGTCAACGCGGACCTTCTGAAAGCTTCTGTCTGTAAATGCTTTCGGATGCAGCTTCCTGATCGGGATAGGGTGCGCGGGGTGGACAGGCGAGGAGGCGGGAAGGGGTAAAAGCTTTTAGCTTTTGTTTTGAGCCGCGGGCGAGACGCCCCCCGCGGGCGGGTGCTGCTGCCTCGCTGCCGCAGCCTAGCCCGGCCGGGCCGATAGCGTCCACGCCCTTCCCTTCGTAACGGACACCCACACACGCCCGGGGAAGTCATTGGGTAACCACCCCGCCCGCCCGCTGCCCCCGCAGCTGCGCCTCATTGAGCCAGGCCGTCATGCAAAACAAAGATGCCAGGCGGGGAGCACGGAAAAATTCCTCGGGAAACGGTAGGAATGCGGCGCGGGGTGGCGGCCGCGGCACGGGCCGAGGCGGCCGAGGGGCCCGCTGGGCCTGCGCTGGGCCCCCGGCAGTCTCTCCATTCCGCGCACGCGTTCTTCCGAGCCAATACTCGCTCCCTCTTGCGCAAGGGCCCGGCCTGCCTGCCATCCCCGCATGGCACCTCTGGATTCATATCGACATTCCGGTCACTTGAGCAGCCGTGGGGCGTCCCTATACGTCCTGGCCCAGCCGCCGTGAGGACCGTGAGGGCGGGTTGGGGGGTGGGGGGGGGGGGCGCCCCCGCAGCGTCGGCGTGAAGGGAGCGAATGCCTCATTGGAGGGCAAAAGCCGAGAGGAAAAGGCCGTGCGCAGAGACCAAACAACATGGCGGGTTGCGCAAGGAAACGAGGTGCCTTTTGTAGTCGGCATTCAAAGACGGTTAACGACAGTTATTCGAGTCATACATTGTGCTGTAGGCGTGAGCTACATAATTGCGACACCAACGTCCAACCAAAGTACCAGGCGCCCGATCAACCCCTCGCACTTCTGTAGTTATGCTGCACCGCATTTCCTACAAGGGTTGCCTACTGATCACCATGAGCAGGGGCGATAGGTAAAGCCACCCACCACAGGGGAAACCAAACAGAAGTGGGCGGGGTGAATCGCTGAATCGCCACCTGTATGTATGCTCATGTATAAAACCCTCTTTTTAGTGGGAATTATCCGAACCGAGGAAGAGGGAGGTAGGAGGGGGCGGGGGTGCTTGGACAGGACATGGACTGGGGCTCAATCTTTCAAGACCTGGTGCATCCCCTGTACGAACAGAAGCACCGCGCGAGCGCTGGCACAAGGAAGGGCAGGTGTGCGCCGAGCGGACGGAGGGTCCTCGAGAGCCTATGGACGAGGACCCTCCAGCACTCTCCTCGAGGGGGTGCTCGTCGGCTTGCAGCCTGCTCGGCAGCATCGCGCGTGCCCTGCGCCGAGCGTGGCCGAGCGGTGCGCGCCCGCGGTGCCGGCGAGACAATGGCGCTCTTGCTCAAATATTTGGCGCTTCCAAGAGCTCTCCTCGACCGCCGCGCCGCGCCACACCGCGCCACCCGCGGATGCCACCCCCTGTTGCCGCCGTCCCCCGTCCCCGTCCCGGCCGCGCTCTCCACGTCCGGCCATGCGGAAGCACAGGAGGGCCCTCTTGGCCCTTTGCTCGGGTGTGGCGGTGGCGGCGGAGGAGTGTGCCGGATGGGTCGTGGGGTTGGCCGGCCGGTCGTCGCGACCTGTGCCGCTTCGGCCCCTTTTGGACGCCTGTGCCCCAGTGAGGGCGGCGCGGCGGGGCGCGGCGGGGTCGGCGGGGCCCAACAGGCGGCTGGCGCGCGCGGGCCAATGGGGCGCCTGCGAGCGGCGCTGGGCGGAGTCTGGTGGGGCGTCCGCCGCTCCTCTCTCCCGCCGCGGCCCGCGCCCCCGCGCCCCGCGCCGCGAGCTGGAGCGAGGGGCGGTGCGAGGCCAGCCCGCGGGGGCACGGCGCGGGCTGTTGTAGCGGAGGGGAAGGGGCGTTAATCTCTTTTCGGAGTTGATCGCGGTTGACCGTAGTGGCATCGCGTTGTTGAAACAAAGGCGACTTGCAACCGCGTCTCTACACCAGACTTCACATCGCGTCGTCGTTGCTGTCATCCCCTCTCTCACTCTGCGGAGGAGGGGGATGAAATGGGGGCATCGTTGGCGGCGCTCCCTTATCCGTGTACAACTTCCAATTCCCCCTCCTCCGGGAGAATGACTCAAACGCGAGCGCGGCCGAACGGGCGGTCAAGAAAACAATGCGAACCCACCTGACAATGCCAAATGCTAACGGCTCGGGGCGAGTAACGGGCGTTGCAGCCCCATTAGAGGCCGGGCCGGAGGGAGGGGTCGGGGAGATCGAAGCGACGCGACGGCGAGAAAAGACGTTGCCGAGGAAAAGTCGCCGCCGCACCGACGACGGAGTCGGAGTTGTATTATTCTGCTCGGTGAACAGCGAAAACGCAGCGCGGCGAAGCAGCGAGCAAGCAACCAGTGCGTGCGGGGCGAGGAGGTAGTATGAAGAAATAAATACGCCTGTTCTGCACAATAATAATGCTCTGCTATCAGATCGCGGCCAGTGCCAGCAGCAGCCCGCCGCCTCCCCTCGGCGAGGCTACGCCGGCTACGCCCCCGGGACACCACCCCTCCCTTACTTTCCCCTCACGCCCCCTTTCTTCGGCTCCGCCCCGCCCCTCTGCCTGGCCTTCGATACATTCAACAACCACCTCACTATTTTCTCTCACATGCAATGAGACCGAGAGGGAGTGGGGGGGAGGCGAGGGGGAATGGACCGGAAGTGAGCACAATCACTCACTCCCTTCATGCAAAAGACGGCAGCGGTGATGTAAAGAGAGCAAAGGGGAAGGGAGGAGGAGGAGGAGGGGAGAGAGGGTCGACCCCACGCATTGTCAACAGCATCAGCCACATGTAATTATCCCACTTGGTCCGTCAACAGTTGACTTCCTTATTGACTTGCCCTTTGCGCGACTGCTGCCGACGCCTCAGCTCGGTCTCCGTACGTATATTGCCTTTCTTACACCAACTTGTGAAAGCCTGTTCCTGAACCATCGGTATGGCGCAGAAGAAACTTCTCTTGAAAGCTGCCTGCCCCCAAAAAATTAAAAATGTCAGAACAGCGGTCGCCGACTAAGTAACATGAATCCTAGTGGGTACGTGCAACCAATATCCACCCCGTGTCGACGGGACGCCGCATGTTTATCTACTGTGCCAGGTGGCTGTGGCTGATAAAACTATCCGCAGTTTTCTAGTAATGCTGTGCTGTACCGCATGCATGTGCGTGGGGCGGGTTTGCCTATCGTCGCTGACCACGGCGGCACAGGGCCCTGGCCGAATAGGCGACCCGCCCGCCCGCACGACTGCATGCCGTACAGTATTACTACAAAAGTGCCAAGGGTTTATCAGCCACCTAGTATGGTGGCAGAGTATGGTGGCAGAAATATCCCTGGTAGTGGCCCCTTTCGTAGTAACACTGTGTCGCATATAGTCGTGCGGGCTGCGGACTTGCCTACCGGCACTGCCACGACTCCCGTAAACACTCTAGTTCTTTGGTAGGACAAAGACACGACGCCGTGGCAGTGGTCGTAAATGCAACTCACTATTATTTATAAACGGTGTCAACGACTAATCGCTCACCTAGATCGAGTCGTCATTCCCCTCACCTTAATTTCTTTCCCACTCCCAAAAAACGCCGTTGCACCGGCGATGCCAACGTCTTAGGCGGCGCATTACAGTATATCGCGAACAATACAAGTAGTTGGGGGCAATTTCAGAAAGTCGTTTGAGTTCCGTGCCCACCCTCCGCACGCTGGCCCGGCCTGTGGGCCCAGCAGCCGCGGCAGTAGGGGTGGGGTGGCGACGACGGCCGCTGACGGCCTTCCCTACAATTATCCCGAGGATAAAAAAAAAGACGGCGGTGGCGCGGGAACAAGGAGCAAACATAAAGGACCGTGTGCACTTGACCGCGATCGAGAAACGGTGCCAAACAGGTACGCACAGTGGCGCCCAATCCCAAGCTGCATGCCATTCAGCCGTTCGGTCACAGCGCCCCGTATCAGAAACCCCAGGGAGAAATTACTGTCGAAACGGTATCGGAACGTATATCTTGCCTTTTCGATATCCTGGTGTACAGACAGCAATGTTTTGTCATAGCCTGAAAGTCTATAACTTTGAAAATCGGGCAATTAATTGCTGTCATCTAACTAATACTACTCTACTGAATACACTTTAAAACCTCAACTTGGGGCAATCTTAAAGACTTGCTTGAATACTATGAGGAGCTTCAATCAAATTGATTCATTGTCAATATTCATATTGGTATGACTGTCCATAATACATGTTTATCAAAAACTGTAATTCGATAATAAAATATTTTTATTGGTAATGAAAAAATTCAGTTTTTGCTGCAAATGCCATCACAACAACCCTGCAAGGATAATCTTGATTTTGCACATCACAATGACATAAAACAGATTGCTCAAGAACATGTCATTTATCCAATAGGATATATAACAATTATGTAATGATTTTCTAACAAATCAATCTCAGACTGGCAACAAACAAACCACAGGGGAGTGAGATGCAGATAGGTAGATTTGATTCTTGTTTTCGGTTATTTCTTGGAGTCTGTCCGAGCTCTCATTTCTTCGAGTACAAATCACCTACATTAGGTTTGGGGTCAGAGGGGAAACCATTCAACTTCATCTGGATGATTCATGTTGGAACAGATGAGAATTCATACAGACTCCTGGCCCAAACATATGTGCAAAAAGCAGGCTCTTATGACAATTTCATAACACAATTTATACCACAATTTGGTTGCTGACAATCAGTGTATCAAGATTTCTTAAAAATATATTACCTATAATACTAAAAGCAGTTAATATGTTGACAAGAAAATAACGACACGTAATGATCTTTTAAGAGAACAGCATATTTTACAAGAAGTGTGCACATAATGCATCACACTAAAGTTCACAAAACAGGAGAAATTTTAAAAGACAATTCATTACTAAATAGTTACTAGACCCTCCCAAACATCAATATAACTATAAATAAATTTTGGACAAATATTTTCATCAGAGGAATCCAAGGACTTTACAAGAACTATTTGACAATAACACTTATCCAAAATGACATTGAATATGTCCCAATGACAGGAGGAATGTTCTTTCAAATGACAGAAGAATATGAAGAATTTAAGAATCATCAACAATTTTCACAATCAACAACCAGTGTCTTATTGCAGCATCATGAGAAAATCAGTAGAAATATTGTCTTCTGTTGTGAGAGAACTTCCATACCAATTTATTTACAGAGGGGTCTGAGGACTGTAACAATCATTATCATTATAATTATGCACAATGGATGACCAATAATCCAATATGCTTTAATGATACAAGTGAAGACACTTCAGTCTTCCAAAGACAGTGCATCATCAAAATTAAGCTCCTGTAAAAAAGAATAAAAATGATCTTACTGTACCAAGCAAAAAAGGAAATTTTAAAGTTTTAATCACTTATAAAGAAAATGCAAAAAAGATTAACACTTACCGAAGGGTCGATGTCATCCAGATCTATATCCAAGTCTGAGTCTAATGACTCATCTGATAAATTGCTCTTAGAAGACTCCTTCAGTTTACTTTCAGTGGCGGCCTTTGTTTCAGGCAAAGGTGCTGATGAAGGAATGAGAGGTGGAGGCATTTTTGAGACAGGTGCTGGAGTTGGAACCAGAGGAACAAAAGCTGGTTTAGGAGGAGCTGTTGTTGTAGATTGTGGTTGAGGAATGGAAGCAGGGGTAGGTATCATCGGAGGGGACACCTTTCCAGGGGCAGAAGCAGACGGTCTAGCCTCAGGCATCTCTTCGTCATCCAAATCTTGATGGACAAATTATAGAAGTAATAGTGAGTATGATTGGAGCTTTTGTACATTAAAACAGATCATTAACCGATTACAAAATGGCCATATTAGAGAACTTTTTTTTTCCAGTTCAATATACTACATGTCACGTACATCGTAAATGGATACTGCCAACAGACATCATAATAAGAAAAATGTACTCACCATCAGAGACTTTACAATCTTCATCAGGCACAAAAGTAAATCGACCACTGGCTTCACCAGCTTTCATTTCCGCAATAGGGTTTCTATCATGATTTGCCTAGGATAAATTAAAGGGTATGATTTCACCATGGGGCAAGTGGCAGGTAAATTTGAAGGTATGTAGGAAACACAATAACAGCATGAGATAACTTACTGGTGTCATAGGATACGCAGATGCTGGTAACTGAGCAAGGCGTTCAGGCCTCAAAAACTGTTCAGTTTTTAGGGATTCTAAGTGGCCTGGAAACAGGTTTGGATATTCCTTTGGATCTGCTAATGATGCAGACGCTTTCTGATTTTTTGATTTCAGGAGATCTCTCCACAGGCCTACAACTGTGGAAACTTTACTGGGTAGATATGTTCTACAAATTGAAAAAAAATAATTTAAAATTAAATAAATAAATAGAATATACAAGACAATAAAAATGATAGATTCACAACATGTCTAGGACCTACTGATTGACAAAATAATTCAAGTATTGATAGATCTCATACCTTGCAAAGAATGCTGCTTCTGGTATTCTATTAGTGGTGATGAGAATATCCAAACATTTCTCCAAATTTCCAAGCATGAAGTATGAGAGGAATGACACGTTGTTTTTACCAAGATCATCAGCCGTTTCTGCCACCTGCTTCATTACTGATGCATTTCCTGGGGAAGAAAGACAACACATTAAAAAAAATATATACACAAGGTGAAAATCTGATAAAATCAACAGTTTTGAAGTGAAAGTATCTCTTTACCAGAAGAAGTTGCAAGCAACAGCAATCCACCATAATCTTGAGCATGATGAAGGCATTCCTGAGCAAGTTCTAGCTGGCCCATATTCAAAGCTAATTCTGAGAGCTGACGCCATTTCTGTTGGGCTCCAGCTTCTCTTGCAAGAGACAGTGCTGTTTCCAAATCTCCCAACTGGAGAGCTAAATCAAACCTATGCTCAGGATCTGTAGAAACTGCCAAAGCTTGGTGCTTAAAGCCCTACACAAGCAAAATTGAATAGATAGACATTAAACATTCTTTGAACAGAATTCATATTTACGGATTAATTTACGGAAAGCACAAAAAAACAATATTAGGTACATGTTGTACATACCTGCTTTTCCAAGAAATGAGCCACTCTTGTTCTGTATTGCTGAGGAATAGTTGGTAAAACTCTGTCCGCTGTTTCAAAATCACCTCGCATCACAGCAGTTTGATATTCTAATACAGACAGCAATAGGCTGAGATGATGGAAACAAAAAGATAACATTAACAAACAGGCAGAGTTTAAATTTTAAAAAGATCAACAAAAAAAATGAATTAGAGTGAAATTTACCAATATGAAACCACATTCAGTTCTTTGTCTCCAAGATATAATCGGTTATCACGCGCAACATAGCCCAAAAGGTACATGGTGCGGTCCAGGTGTGAGACTGTCACAATTTCTCCTCCAACATAATAATTTACACGATTAACACTATTTGTGTAAATGAAGCAATCGCCCACCCATATTCCTGTGCGAACACTCTCTTGCACTTCACCCAACACCTTGAACATGGATAAGAGGAAAATTCAGATTTGTTTTGATTGATTAAACGAAAAATTTCATTTTCTAGAAAGTCTAAAAGTCTAGAACGAAAAGGGTGATTTGCTTACCGTGAATGCATCCTCACACCCATCATCACTCAAATCTTTAGTACCAAGGGCTTTTGAAACAACATTAGCGTCATACCGCAGAATAAAGTAACTATCATCAGTTGCCAAGCAGCATAGTTCTCCACTCTCAGACCAAAATACATGCCTTGGTTGGATATCAATCCGACGCACTAATTCCAAACTTTCCCAATCATAGAAAGTCATTGATGCAACTGAGCGCACACCAAGAAGGAAGCCACCAAAAATGCCTGCAGAGGACAAAGAAGTACATACATTATCACTTTGATATACTTACAGAGTCATCAGTCATCATTCTTGAAAAATCAATCACTGGAGGTATGGCTGACAACAAGAGAATGAAGTTTAAAAAAAAATAAAAAAATTACCCTCTGCACCAAATTCTGGTTTAAAAGATTTCCGTTCCTTGAAATTTTTGAAAACTTTCACAGTTGAGGATCCCTCACGAATTGCATACTCAGACGAATCTTGAGCCCACACAAACTCTTGGGCAGAACCAAAGGCCTTATTACGCAAAGCCATTGAGGTATAAATTATGTACTCTCCATCACCACAAACAACCACAAATCTAAAATCAAAGATACAGAATTAGTCTTTTTTTAAAAATATTTTGTGTAAATTATACCAAGAATAGAGAGATAGATAACTGACCTGCCATTGGGGTTGTGTGCTACTGTCTGTGGGTAGATTTCACAGCTTCCCATATCTTTAACCACTAAAGGCAGACGCTCACCATCCTTGACATCATCTGTCTCACCCATTGCTTTTAAATTCGCCTGTTGAATTTCTGAATGGCGTGCCCAAATTATCTTACCACCATTTACATCCATGGACACAGCAGGCTCTTCCCGTCCAACCTTTACCATAATACTTCCTTCATCATACCTGACAGCAAATAGAATATTAGATGTTATGTTCAGAACTGAAGATAGATAATAAGACGTGGCAATACAAAATTAAAAAAAGAAAAACAACAACAGAGGGATAATGAAGGTGCATTTTGCACACTGGCCTTGAAGAGAAATTAACATACCCTAGGGCAACATTATTTGATCCACGCATGCATGCAATGGTCCAAACTCTCTCAAGTCCATAGTTAAGAGAAGACTCAAGCCTGTAGGTGCCGGAATGCCAGATGCGCACAGTTCCATCTTCGGAACCAGTCAGAAGAATAGGCAGAGCTGGGTGGAAACACACTGCAAGAGAAGAACAGTTATGAAACCATCTCCCACATTACATTAGTCTAACAGATTCCATGATAGTGACTATCCAGAAGCCCAAAAAGTGTTTTTGGGTAGGCTCACATTGGAAACTTAAAGCTAATCAAATAAAAAAGTGACTAACCCGATGAAATGTTTTGAGCATGGCCCTCCAAGGTTTGGACGCATGTTTTGTTTTGATAATCCCAGATTTTCACAAGTCTATCATCAGCTCCTGATATTAAGTAGGGTTTGTCACCACCATAATAATAATCCACACAGTTTACACCTTTTTCATGGCCATCAAGTGTGAAATTAGGAGTGCTGGATCCAAGTTGCCACACCTATCAAACAACAGGAGAAGAGAGATATAATGTCCAGCAAGTAAAAGTGTTAAAAGAAATGTTTGGGAAAAATATATATAGTATAAAAGTAAATATTATGGATAATAGGTAACTAGTCTTTACCTTGACTGTGCGGTCCAAGGAAGCACTGGCAAATGTATTGTTATCCTTGGGGTTGAAAACTATCTGCATCACATAATGAGTATGGCCCTCAAAAACTTGTTGGCAAGCCCACTGCTTTTCCCAGTTCCACAGCTTAATAAGCATATCATCTAAAACAAGAAACATTAATTGTTTGAGCAGTTCACATCTATAGTAATGCACACATTCTTTACAAGCAACTTTACATTAATGAAAGGATAAAAATTAATCAAAACCTTACCACTTCCTGTCAGAATGTATGGTTGAGAAGGATGCACAATGATGCAACGCACATAATCTGAGTGAGCCTCAAAGGCATGAGCTCTTTCCAAAGTATTGTAATTAAAAACACGGACTTGCATATCATCCGAGCCAGTGACAATCCAATTCTTACGGGGAACAAAACGAGCAGCTCTGACTGGCACATCACATACCTGTTAGTAAACAAAGATAGAGAAAAGTTGAAACATTGTGTACAAAATGTGCAATGTGCAGTAACTGAGATTTGGTCATATACCTCAAATGACTTGACCAACTGTTGGGATTCATGGTTCCAGACATGGACGTTGCCATTGTAAAGAGAAGCCAGCATCCATGGCTCTGTGGGATGCAGATCGACACTCTTCACTCTATCAGAGCGGGCTGTGAGCTTTCGTTTTATATCAAGTCTGAGAGGCTGCAACAAAAAGGAAAGCAAACACAAAATTTATATGAAGTGTTTATTTTTTTAAAGACAAAAATATCTTTTCTACTTGTATAGTCCCAAAACTGGTTATATATAAAACGGTTAGGATGCAAAGAGGAATCAAACGTTGAATAGTGTTCATTAGAGGGCGGAAAAATTAAGTCACTTCTTTACTTTATCGACAGATTGGGGGTTGAGGAACGACAGACCGGGCCGATGACAAGTCAGGTGGCAGGTGTTTCGTTTCGTCTTGGACAAGCAAACTGACGACATCGTAAAAATAATTGCAAGGAGTGCTATCGGGGGATATTGTTATTTTCCATATTAACCAATCATCTCTCAGTTAAAAATCAGAAATGTACAAGAGGAAATGAAAACACCAGATGGGTAAGGTTAGGTAATACATTAGAAATTACCCATACAAATATCTACTTTAACGACAGAATAGACCTATCTGACGTAAGGAAATGTTCCTTAAGAAGTAAATAAAGGAGATAATAGCGTACCATCTTAATCTAGTGTGTAAATACACAGCGATTGTCAAAAATTCACAAGTTTAGGTGTTTTGACACCATTCGCTAAGCTGTAAACATGGACGTGGCCTCTGCTGCTGCTGAGATGACGGCGCTGTCATGTCCACACCATCAAAGGCTGTGATTCAATAACGCCAACTAAACAGCAACAAATGCTAAAAGAAACATGATTTTAGAGGCTGTTTTGGTGAGTGGTTTTAGTGATTTTATTTACGACACTATTTTATACTACGGCACTGCCTCTTGATCATGTATTCATTGTTCTCAGCCGACAGTTATACTTCGAGCAGGTTTCAGAGTATTTCGCATGTTAGCATGGTAACAACTGCGAGATGTGTTGTTCATGTTGTTGTTGGTAAACACTTGTTTTTATCTCACTTGGCCCCTCGGACTCAACCCATTACCATTCTGCCGGCTTCACTGCGTCCCACTGGTCCATAACAGCCCCTTTATCAGTGGTCTTGGTCGTCTCTCGTGGCACCCCTCTTGTTCTCAGGGGGATCTGAATCTGAGCCGCGTTGAGGTTGAGCTAGTTCATTTCGTCTGCAAGCATCTGAAGAAAGGATGGCGGGCACCTTGACAAAACTGTGCAAGTCTCTGGGACAGCTTCCCTCACAAGCTGTCAACATCACAGCACCAGCTACTGCTGCAGCATCACGCAGGAATTGTAAGTACGAGTTGTCCTAGTTGTCAAGCAAGGGCATGCCCAGAGCAGCCCCCCCGTTTTCGTTTTACAGGCCCTGGGGGACGCGTCGACAGCACTAGCCGGACCCCCTGTACCGCACCTCCTTATCTCCTTGCGTCTGATCCCGGTCTGATCTCTTTGCATAATTGGTACGAGGAGACTTGTGACCGAGTCCCTTCGAGTTTAAAAATGAAATCGTATTTCATGCTGAATCTTGTCACTAAAGCCTCCTGCACCACCCCCTTTGAAGTACTAGTACTTGTTGAAGCCGGCTTGGCGTGGGTGGTTGCGAGTGGGGGGTGGTAATGGAAGAAATGGAGAAATGAATGGAGATGAAGAACGGAGAGACAGAGATAAAACAGGCAGAGAGTGTGCATCGGACCAATTTTTTTTTATCCGAGTGGTGGTGCTGAAATTATGTTTTCTGAGCGATTCAAGAGCGCTCTGAGGTGGGAGGTTGAGAGAATGGTGATGCCTGGTTCTCTCCAGATCTAAACGTGTGTCAGGGACACACGGCAGTATGCGGGTTTGCCTACTTGCTCCACCCGTAAGGCGCCATGGCCCCCAGGGTATGCAAACCCGCAACACTGTTGTGTCGTAGCCCTGATACACATACGAGTAAAAGAGATACGCTGCCCCCCTCCCCACCCCTCTCCCCCATCCGTCCCCCTTCGTCCAGTGAACTCCAGCCACTCCAGCACCGGCGTCGGGCGCCCTTGCTACGCCCTTGAGACACAAAGATGGGCCTGCAGGGGGAGCGGGGTAGCCACGCAACCGGTCTGGCGTCTGGCTATGGAGGGACGTCACGGGCTCGGGCGGGGGCGGGAGTCACGAGGTCAAGGAACTGCGGGACTTCCTCTAGATTGAGGGGGGGGGGGGCAGGGAACTCCCTCTCTAGCACCTCTCCCCCCCCTCCCCCCTTTCAGCTGCTCACCGTCTTTTCTATGTTACGGGAATCGTGGTATAATAGAACTATTATGGTTTTCAGATGCGAGTGTCAAACGTGCCGAATGTGTCAACCCGGTGGTGGAGATGGATGGCGATGAAATGACGCGTATCATTTGGGCCAGCATCAAGGAAAAGCTCATTCTGCCTTACATTAAGGTAACTAAAAGGAAATGCACTTTGAAGTCTTACTTTTTTCCCTCTTAAATTACAGACATAAAAACTGTTATTTTACATCAATTTATTAATTAAAGCACTATTGTGGAAAATTGTGTTGCTGAGGTTGGGGTCAGAGGTTGAGCACCTGATAAGAATAAGGGGAAATGACAAGTATTTGCGTATCTTTTCTCGTCGCACCAGCTGATCAATCCTTTTCTTTTTGTTCATAGGTGGAGTGTTTGTACTATGATCTAGGTCTTCCGTACAGGGATGAGACCAATGATCAAGTTACAATTGATGCTGCACATGCCATTCAAAAACACCATGTTGGCATCAAATGTGCAACCATTACACCTGATGAGGCGCGTGTGGAGGGTAAGAAACTTCCTTGAAAATGCAATATCTAATTCATTTCTTCAAGTGTTTCCATTAATGCTACTATTGTCTCTCTAGAATTCAAGCTCAAAAAAATGTGGCTTAGTCCGAATGGAACAATTAGAAACATTTTGGGTGGAACTGTTTTCCGTGAGCCCATTATGTGCAAAAACATCCCTCGGTTAGTTCCTGGCTGGACGAAGCCTATTGTAATTGGTAGACATGCCCATGGTGACCAGTACAAGGCTAAGGATTATGTTGTCACTCGTCCAGGAAGGGTTAGTTCATTTGGCACAATTTACATGTATATTCAAATAAGCAATTTATTAATGCTTACAATCTTGATTAATATCTATTATTAATTTATGTTCTAAATTATATTTTGGGCACATTTGTTTAGATGGAACTTGTTTTCACTGACGCAGCTGGCAAGTCTGAAAGGTTGGAGGTATTCAACTTCCCTGGCAGAGGAGTTGCTCTTGGAATGTACAACACTGATGATTCGATTGAAGCTTTTGCTCACTCCAGTTTCCAGGTAAAGAGCCTCTCAATACCACGTATACTTTTTGAAACAGTTCCAGCCCAGCAGAGTTAAACTATAGTTGTTGTTTCTTCACTGGACACAATTTTCAGGTTGCTTTGAAGAATAAAATGCCTTTGTACCTCTCAACCAAAAATACAATTTTGAAAAAGTATGATGGAAGATTCAAAGACATTTTTGAAGAAATTTACAACAAGTAAGAAACACCAAGTACTGACCATTTAATATGTTTGAATGTAAATGTTTTAAAACAAATTTTATTTTGTAGAAGCTACCGTGCAGACTATCAGAAAGCTAGTATCTGGTATGAGCATCGTTTGATTGATGACATGGTTGCTCAAGCTTTAAAATCCGATGGAGGCTTTGTGTGGGCTTGCAAAAACTATGATGGAGATGTACAGTCTGATATCGTGGCCCAAGGCTATGGTATGATATTCCTATTTCCCTGAATTAACATTAGACCGTTATTCTGTTCAGTTTACACTCTTTTCTTTATAATCTAATTAACTTAATTTATTTTTTCATCCAAAGGATCTCTTGGTTTGATGACATCAGTGTTGATGTGCCCTGATGGCATAACAATTGAGTCAGAAGCTGCACATGGAACAGTCACCCGCCATTATCGGTAAATAAATACTCTCATGTATTAACTGTTTCCCTGTGTTCCGGTAAAACTCACCTGTATTTTTGTGCAGGCAACACCAAAAGGGACTCCCTACTTCAACCAACCCAATTGCTTCAATCTTTGCATGGACCCGTGGTCTTGAACACCGTGCAAAGCTTGATAACACTCCTGATGTGGCTAGGTAATTTAGGTTGTATTAGTAAGACTTTGCCTTTTAACTAGGTATCATTTCTTTAAAAAATTCCTTTTTTCTCACAGAGTGGCAAAATCCATGGAAGAGGCTTGTGTTGAGTGTGTGGAAGCTGGTGAGATGACTAAGGATCTGGCCATTTGCATCCATGGCATGGCTAATGTTAAAGAGTCTATGTACCTCAACACTCAAGATTTTATGACAGCTGTTCAGCAGCGACTTGATCACAAACTAAGGAACTAATAACATTCACATTTGTTGTCACTGTTTGCTCTGCCTTAGCTTACCTGAAGTGGTGACTGAGATGAGCATGTTTATGTTCTTATGTCTTTCTCCTTGAGATATTCTATCAAGCGGCGTCCTATATTCCAATACTGTATGTTTTTAGTTTTAATATTGTGCATGCCTCTATTCGATATTATCATGATATTTCTATGTACAAAGTGTGCAGATAAGTGGATAGAATGCCCTACAGTATTTAAAGAATCCCAGAAACTGTTGATGAGATTAAACTTTCCTCTTTTTGAAATAGACATGTATACAAAACATTTTTAAGTTGAAGCCTTATGGGATAGGGGCTCTCAGGTTTGAACAAAAGACAGAAAAATATAGCTAGCTGGTTACTATGAAGCCTCTAGGTGCTGTTTTTACTCATTATTTTCAACCAAAATAAATGTGTTAAATCATTGTTAGAATCAACTTCTTTTAATTTGTGCCATTGAACTGAAGAACAATGAACTTTTTGAATTTTATTTCCAAGCTGAAATTTGTTAAAGCTTGTCTAATTTGATAGATTTTTACCTTAAGAACTGCTATTATAAATGTACCCAATCATGCTGTTTTTGTACTGATTTGGGTGCAAGGTACAGTTTGCCTGTAACTCACTTTAGACATCTAAATAGGGTACTATTTGTTATAGTTCTCTTTAGCTACTGGCAGAATTCCTAGTGAATAATGTAAATTATATTTTCATATGTTTGGATTTATTGTTCCTATGAATCATCACAATTACTATCAAGTTAGTCTTTAATACATTTTAAAATGGAATTGTTATCGGATATCACAGAGAAGCTCCTCTGTCAAGAAATAAAAATTATGTATACTGATGTTTCTACTGTCAATTATTATACTGTAACAGAACCACTTAATATAAAAAGCTGATTTTAAATTATGGTTGGGGTGATGCTGTTGTCTGGCTGGAATTTGTTCGTATAGCATCTGGTGGACAGCATATGGCCAGGTAGCTGTAACAAATTATTCTCAAAGCACTCCATCTTTTGGTTGTGCATGCATATGGGTGTGTATTTATAGCTACTTACTCTCCCATTGAACACTGGTATTTGACAAAATCTTCTATTCTCTGAACAACTTGCTCAAGAACACAATTTGCAAAGTGTCTGCAAACACCTGATGTGGACCCATCTCCTGGTAGCACACAATTTTGTGTGGGGCTTAGCTCAGTCTATAACAATTAAAAATCAATTATCAAATTTGATCAAACCTTCTTTAAAGTAGGCTTTCCAACTCTAAAAAATCTTTTGTTTTGACTGCATGCATACACCAAATTTTCTTACCTCATTGCTAACTTTGTAGTTTTTCTCTGTTCCATTTATCTTCAGTGGAAGAACACCTTTCTGAAGTGCGTCACTGGGTAGCCATTTCACATCAGATATATTAACAAGCAAATTAGGTGTGGCTAAAATGAAAATAGCACAAAAAACACAAATGAATAGAAGTGTTTATCTTATAATTTGTAATTTTTAAAGCAGACAAAATTTAATTTTGGTATTTTGATTTTTGTGTTTCAATTTTGGTAGCCTTAATTCTGAATATTTGTGTCTAGGCTGATGTTATCATATTAGTATGATTAAAATAAGCAGGCAGTAGTACTGTTCATGCATGCATCTACATGTCCCTGTCCCATTACCAGTCTTCCAAAGCTCTCACAGTTAATATACAGCACAGATTAATACGTATTTAAAAAAGACAATTGGAAATTTATTCCACTCACTGTTAATGTCCACCCTATCTACATGAGGAGCATCAACTGTATCTTCCTCAGCTTCAGCCATAGATAGTGCAGAAAACTTATTGTCTAAAAAGGGTGCTCCTGGAACATAGCAAGCAAATACACAAGGCGCATGCTTTAAAATGCGGACAAAGCAAACACAGTTATATACACCACATCTACCACCAGACAGAGCACAGGCAGTTGCATTCTTACACCTTACAAGAGACGTCATGCTAATGAAACAATAAAATTGAAAAATATAATCAATAACTGGCAAAGAGTCGAAAAATGTTAGACGCGTTTAAAATGAAGGTCTGTTGTTAGTGCTCGGCTGGGCTGCGGCGTGGGTAGAGTTTGGTAGACAAGCACAGGACGCAGGGTGGGATGAGGGCACATAGGTCCTGTCAACTCTATCCGCTTTTGGACCATGGCTCACTCACAAGTCACCTCATCCTCTTGAGCTTGAGCTACAGTCGCCATCGGGACTGCAAAGGGCGTCGTGGAGTAGACCGAGAGCAGAGCCGGCGACGGGCGAATCCGGTTCATCAACGCGAAGTTCTTCTTTGAGAAATGGGCGACGGGCCGGCCCAACGCCCCCAAGGATGGGGGTGCGGCCAGGACTCCTACGGGCCGGGGGAGCAAGCGAGGAGTTAACAGGTAGCGTCAACGTCTTGCTCGAGGAGGGCGGGCGGGGAGACAGGTAACAAGTTCTACACGCCAAAAGCCTTGCCGATCGAAACACCACATCACACCACACTGCTAAGACCAACTACGAGACGCAGCACACCCGGAATATATATCCGCATAAGCAGCCCAATCCAACCCGCCCAGGGCGCCCAGTCAGCAGGTGAAGATGTTACAGACACACGACACACAAACGCACAACCACAGTGCCCCGCCAGCCCATGGACTCGAGGGGTCGGCGGCCGGGGCGGCACTTACGCTTTGGGGTGGTCGTGGTGAGCTTGTGGCTCACGGGGTCGCGCTCGTCCGCGCCCAGCTGGGCCAGCCCCGCGGCCGGGTCCGTGGGGCCGCCGTGTGGGGGCGGCGGCGGCGGGCGCGCGAGCATTAGCGGGCCGCCCAGGTCGGGTAGTCCGGGTTGTCCCCCCCAGGCGGCGGCGCTGATGGGTCTGGAGAACGCGGACACAGGTCCGGCGAATCCTGGAGGAGGGGCACCCACGATGGCGGCAGCGTAGTGACCGCCCCCGCCGCTGATGCGGTCCACAAAGCCTGAGGGGGAGGGGCGTGGCAGATTGAACGAGCCGCGAGCGAACCCAAAGTATCGTCACCAATGAACTATAGTTAACATTTTTTCCCTGTTCATTGAACCAACGACCGTCGTCACCGCACTGCACCGCCGGCCCGTCGACCTGAAAAGGGACTGCGGGTGCGGGTTGGAGGGGAAGGGGAAATGACCGAGCAGGGCACACATACAAGCCAATCACAATCAGGCAATCATCATTCGCCACGGCTAGCACTAGCAGTGCAGTCCAGAGCCGACCACGCCGCCCAGCGCCACTTGCAACCACCCCAGGACACCTGCGGAGGTCTTGTCCGATCGCGCCCGACTTACGGCTCGAGCAGTGCAGCGGCGGCGTCGGGACTGGCACCCCTGGCGGAGGGGGCGGCCCGCTTGCAAGCCCATCACAAGACGACTTGATGGTGAGGCGACTGCGAGTCGTACTCTTATTGGCTCGAGCCTTGCTTTTTCGATTTTGCTTGTGAGCCGCCAGGGGCACGTGACCCACATGCGACTGGCGCAGACGCACGGCTGAAAACGATACTCGCCCGCATTAGGGATCATTATGCAGAAAGTACGCCCGACATTCGCCGTTACAGACCTCAGCCTCTGTAAGCTCTCATAACGCCTGGTAGGTAGGCAAGATCTTGGCCGCGGGGCATGTATGTACTGTGGGGTGGCCTACCCCGAGTCTCGCAGGCGCCGAGCTCCCGTAATATGCCGAAAGAATGTGAGGGAAAACGGGCGTACTTTCTGGACGATCCCTGAGGTGCGGCCTAATTGCGGAGGTTGTCTCCGCATGTACATAAAGGTGTCCATAAATGATGATCTGATGGAGACTATGAAAATTTAGATTTTCCCAATCCTCTGCACCGTCTTGATTAGAATTGTATGGGAATGAGGATCACATCGCAGCCCCCCCCCCCCTAAATCATCGCGCTGTTTTTAGAAAGGTGTCCTGTAAAACGGTGGAAAAATTGCGTCGGAAAAGTAGGCAAATAGCGGCAAAAGTACTGAAGGACTCCGTGAACTTTCCTGTGTGTGGGTGCGCACCAATAATAAAAATAAATAACTTAAAAAATCAGGCACGGCAGTAGTACAATCAGGCGGTTGTAAGCTGTTAGAGAGACAACCACCAAAATGATGACGAAGCCAAATGTTGAACTACCAAACGCAGGACTGTTGGGCGTTTAGTGCGGGAGAAACGAACTGTATGAGGAGCGCGGACAACGATGAACTAAGGAAGGAGCAGAGCAACGTCTCCTTCTTGCCTCCGTCCCTGCCCTACAATCAATTAAGGTACTAATCGAGGGGAAAGTGAAACCAGAGCGCAAAACCTATAACTACAAGTACAGAGGCTACAATAAACATCTCGTTCGTCTGCATTACAAAACTAACGGCAATATCAACACAGGTAAATTCAGAAATCTATTTTCAAATCAGCAACTCACCTCCTTGAAGACTTGCCGCTGCTACCGCATCTACGACAGAGCATAGAAATGTTGGCTATACAGATACAGAGCACATTCAGTAAAGGCGATTTTGGAGAATTGGACCATTCAGGTAATACTCTTACCCGGATTAACAGTCTGGGCGTCGGTCGTCTTCGTCTCATTGGGTTTGACGACGACCAGGGACGTCAGGGGAGTCACGAAAGAGTACTGGTGAAAAACATAATGTCACTTAGTCTCTAGTCTAGCTTCTAAGTCCCTTGCTTGTGAGTATCTCAATGAAAGCGGCCACAAACTACACGTCTACAACCGAGCTATACGACGTCTCGCCGGCTATGTTCTCTATTGGGATCATCCAGAAAGTACGTCCGTCATTCTCCCTTACCAACCTGCAAAGTTTAGCCTGTGTAAGCTCTCTTAGCGCCTGTGCGTAGGCAACATCTTGCTTGCTAGGCATGCGTGTACTGCGGGGTGGCCTACCCGGAGTATCGCAGGCGCCCAGCGGCCGTAATTTGCCGAAAGGATCTGAGAAAAAACGGTCGTACTTTCTGGACGATCCCTGTGTAGTTCTACTGTAAGGCCGTGTACGGCACGCAAGCCTGTAGGCGAGTTGCCTACTCGCACGGGGTCACAAGGCGCCTTGGTTAAAGCGCAACGATAGGCAAGGCCGCGCGCACACCTTCTGCGCGCGGTAGGACTACACACAGCAAAAGAGAAGGTGAAGGTGGCCAGCGAGACACTCTGTTCCACTAAGTCAGTGCTCACCTTAAGGGCAAGTTCCAGGGCCTTTTGCTTGGGCTCGCGCTTTAGGACGCTCAGGTCCAGGCCGTCCAGGTCCGCAACGTTGGGTTCGCTGCCCGAAGTCGCCGTGGAAGTCGTGAGGGGTGCGTCGGTGGAGCTCGGGGCCACCGAGACTGTCATGGACGGCAATGCCATCGGCGGTGGCGGAGGCGGCCCGGCTGGCCGCACTCGGGTGGGGGGCTCCACCACCTCCTCCTTGAAGGTCTTGGCGTCCAGGGCGTCCTGCTCGTCGAGCAGCTGCTTTATGGTGAGGTAGGCCCAGAGCCGCTCTAGCACGGACACGTGCTTGGGCGACTGATGCACCGTAGTGTTGAACAGAGGGCCCTCAGAGTCGAACGGGTAGATGGTGAGGGGTTCGTCGATCATTACAACCTGGCAGTAGATATCATTTAGTCAGAAAAGGGGCAACAAAAACAAACGTCTGCTCAGTGCACTGAGGGTGACGGGGGTACTCACGTGAGGGCTGTAGGTGGCCTGCTTGCCGCCGTCGGCCACGGCCTTGATGCTGCCGCCAACCTCCTGGATGCCCTTGTCCGCCGTGCGGCCCGCCACCACCAGCTCGGTGCCGTCGAACAGCGTGCGGAACTGCAGCTGCGTCATCGAGTCGCGCTCCACCTTGTCCGGGATGTACTGGAAGGACACGTTGGCCAGCAGCGGCGACGAGATCTGTCGGTAGAAGTTCTTGAGCTGCAGGGACGCGTCGGCCGCCTCGTAGATGGTGCGCGCGAAGCCCCCGTTGGCGAGGGACAGCTTGCGCAGGAACCGGATGTCCGCCTCCTCGCCGAACGCCAGGCTGAAGACGGCGGAGCGCGGCTTGAGGTTGAGCTCGCTGATGCCCGACGTGATCCTAGTGGGCACCGTCAGTCCGACCGTCGGGTCGCCGTCGGTCAAGAACAAGACGATGGGCTCGAGGGTCTGGTCGCCGTCAGACATGGCGGCGGAGCGGGCGCCGTCGCGCGCGCAGTCCAGCGCGGTCTTCAGGGCGTCGTTGATGTTGGTGCCGCCGTACGCAGAGAGCTGCTTGACGACCTCCTTGGCCTTCTCGATGTTCTCCTTGTTGGCGCGGTAGGCGGGCGGGCGCTCCTGCGGCGCCTCTGTGGTCGTGGCCGCCTCGGGGCCGTAGTAGACGCCCTCGCTGGTGCCGTACAGTGCACTCTTGTCAGGTTTGTCCAAGTTCCACACCTGGGGTCGGGAAAGGGTGTAGCATGAAGCAGTGCGCGATGCCAATACGATCGAAAATAAAAAGGGCGTTTCTTCTGGGTCTCTGCTTGTCCCAGCAGGTGGCTCACCTTGACGTCACTGGAGAATGATATGAGGTTGAAGTAGTCGCCATCCTTGAGGTCGTTCAGAATCGACATCATGGCCTCGCGGAGCTGCTCGATTTTGCGACCGTCCATGGAGCCGCTGACATCCAGAACGAAGATGGCGTGCTTCTTAAGGGGCTTCAGATCCGTCGGCGAGAAAAAGTGCACAAAGTAGCCGTCGTTGACCTGGAGAAAGCGAAGGTTCACAACTGTAATTCCCGCCGATGCAGGCACTGGAGGCGCCAAATACATGCACGGTGATGGTATCGTAAGCAGGCGTGCGGACGGGTTGCATTGTCGCACGCGGTCATAAGGCGCCGTGGTGAGAGTCCGGGAGGCAAGCACACACGCACGCCTTTATGCGGCATAGTACTACCAGAAAAACGTGCGGTTTAGAACACCCATTCGTTTATTTTTGTCTTTCGAAAGCCGCCTGCCGTTAGTGTCTCCCAGCCCTCCCACCCACTTACCACCACCTCGCCACCGTTTGCGTCGCGGTCCACGTCGTACTGGATGCTGAATTGGCCATTGAGGCCGTGGTCCTGCTTCTTGTCGCCGCGAGAGTCGTCGTCCGAGGGCTGGAACACGTCGGACCACAGCATGGCGTTGTGGCGACGCCCCAGGCCGCCCCCAGCCTCCTCCAGTGCCTTTCTCTTCTTCTCCTCCAGCCGGGTTCTGATCTCCTCCTGCTCGGCCTCCGAAGGACGGAAAAGGACCTCGACGTCAGTCGGCGACTTCCACGTGATGGTGGCCAAATTGTTACCTGAGGAAAGGTTTTAAACACATTGCCATGTGACGATACACTAAGCACAGTTGCCGGATCAATACACAGTAATATCACTGATATTGCAACAGAAACAATAAATAAAGAAAAAAATGTTACTTTACCCGAAGCGCACTTGGTAGGACTGGCTTGCGTTATATCGTCGCACTCCTGCAAATCGGTGTCAATCTTGTTTCCGGAAGTGAACTCTGGCACACGCAGCTTTGTAATATTTTTGTTCTCTTTGATGTGGACAAGGACTTGCAAGTCTTGCACAACCTGTTAGCGACAACAATACATCGGTGAGCAGCTGTACCTTTTCTTTTATTTGCACTGGGAAACACCAGAGAAGACGACACCAACCTGTCCAGGATTGAGGGTGATGACGTGGTCATAGAGGCCCAACTTCCGTGTGAGCAGCTCCTCGTAGGTTAGATTGAAAGACACTTTGTTCTGTGCCTCGACGTTCAGCGATACGGTGAACGAGTTTGAATCTCGCGCGCTCACCGCAACGTGTGCTGCAGACTGCCCGGCTGCCACGGCCGCATCGTAGGTCTGCTTGGCCTCCTTCTTCTCCTTAACGTAAGCCTTGTAGATCTTCCCGTCCACTTCCCTGAAGTTTCCAAACGTTAATTTCCTTCCAATAAGCAGAAACAAGACCAACGCTCTCTTGGTTACCTACATGGCGAAGGACGAGATGAAGGCGGTTTCGGGCAAAACAACTGAGAAGGTAACCTCCTGACTAAGGTTGGCGGGGTTGGCCACCCGGCTTGACACCACAGTGTGCGCATACCGGTACTGCACCGTAGAGTTGACGTGGAGACTGCGCACTTGTGGCGCGGGCGGCGATGTCGGCTTCTGATCGGAACAGAGGAATACACGAGAGTTAATTTCAAAAAGCCATGTCAGTGCGAGACACCCAACCACTGCAGTTGCAATGGACATGGCGGACAGGGAATGACCCGTGGGGCCCGCGCAGTGCACCTACTAGTTGCTGTTGTGCCTCAGTAGAGGACGAATCGCCTCCGGTTGTCGTTGCCGGCGTCACAGGTGCGGGCACGAGCGAGGGCGTCGATGTCGTGGAGGTGACGACCATGGCGGCATCCTCGCCGGGTCGCGGGAAGGCAGCGGAGGGTGGCGCGCAGCAGGCCAGCGCGAGCAGCGCCAGGGCCAGCGCCGCGGGCGCCTTCATCGCGTCCATCTGCAAGCACGACAAGGAGGACAAACTTAACCGCGAAGCGTCTCGGCTGTGTAAGTCCCTCCACAGTGTACTAGTTATGCGTGTTATGGCGTTGTGGGGGTAGGGCGCAGCCTTGACATCGAACACCGGGCCCGTATCAGAAAGCATAGGTGGCGACGGCAGGCAGAAGACCACACGGGCCTCGAGGCGGGGAGACGGCAGCGACTGGGGGAGGGAGCAGGTCTACAGTACAGGCGCTGGCCCTTGATCTTTTGATTGGCAGGTGCATCCGAATATCGTGTACGACTTTTTCTGTACTGCGTCGCGCGGTACGCGTCGGGGCAACCGGCGGCGCAGCAGTTTGCCTGGCGTCCACGATGTGTGAAGCACAGAAATAACGTGTGGTTTTGTACGATTTGGGGCTAGGCTGGCCAGGTATCCACACCAAACTTGAAGAGTTTTGGTGCCGACTGCGGTGCGACCGAGGATGCGGACGAGGAGGAGGGGGCAGGGCAGGAGCGTGTGTGCCGCAGCAGTCGCGAACCTCGCGGCTGGGCAACAAGAAGAACCTGTCTTGGCCAACGCTAAGCCCGTCAGAGGGCCGGGTCGGGTCGAGCCGGGTGGGGCGGGGTGGGGTGGTGTAGGGTGTGGTGGGGTGAGGCGAGGCACCCCGGGCCGGCCAATGACCCACCCGCGGCCGCGGGAGAGTTTCTTCTCGGGTTCTTATGCAAAGCCGGGGGGAGAGAATCCGCACCACCGAGAACAAGTCCCGGGGGGCGGGCGGGTACTCTGTGGGTGCACGGATGGCGCGGTCTGCACCGTGTGCATAGTGTACTCCTCGTCGCGCAGGCTGATCGAATGAGAGGCCCGCCGTGTGAGCAGCGCGGTCGGCCCGCCGCGCCGCCGTCCAGCCTCCTCGCCGCGCGTATCACCAGGGCCATTATTGTACGCTGGAATGAGTGACGTGCTCCGTCCACTTTTGGGACGCGACGGAGGGGCGGGGCGGGGCGAGGCGGGGCGGGGCGGGCACCCGTACGAGCTCGCGCTGTTTGCGCCCACACACGCCGCACGAGGAAATCATTCTCCAAGGCCGCGACGAGTAGCGCAGCGGCGTCTTGAAGTGGGTGCCATGTGCCAGACCGCCGCTGAATAACCCCAGGCGGCCAGGTTCTTCCAGTCCACTTTCCTGTGTGACGTCACCCCCGCCTCATCCACAACAATGTTTTGTGTCACAAGCCCCGCTGTCAAGGCCGCCGCCGTGCAGCCCGCTGACGGGGGCCCCAGGCAGGTCCCCCTCCCCGGTATGCGCCCCGCTGGCCAAGAGCGCGGAGCAGCGCGGCCTGAACTCTAAGGTGACCCCACCGCAGACATGCAACAAGGCTTCCACCACGACGCCACTCCAAGCCACGCCCGCTCGACGACCACTGATGTGCCCCACAAGACGACAGAGTCCTCGACCAGGGCGACATAACCTCACACTGCTTGAGTTTGGGGCCCTCGGGGCCCTCGGAGGCCCAGGTGCCGGGGGAAGGCAAGCGAACACGGAGCAGCACGGTGTACTCTGGCACCAACACCAACCCACCAACCTCACAGTGAACTCCTCCTGGAGCCTGCAGTCGTCGTCGTCGGCACTCAGAACGCGAAGGGTCCAGGGTGCCGCCGATGGCCAAGTAGTAGCGACGCGACAGTGTCGACGGACGCGACCTACTACAACGAGAGCGAGAGCCGGTGTGACTTGGTGGGTGTGGGTGCCGTGCGCGCGCTGCCCGGCTCGGTCTGGACTGGCTGACCTCACGTACAACCGGCGTCGGGCAAGCCGAGCGCACGAGTGAAGTGACAGGCCGGGCCGGGCCGGGCCGGGCCGGGGCGAGGCGAGGCTGAGCCGGGCTGGGTGGGACCCCCTGGGACCCCCGATGGAGGAGGGGGCATAGGAAAAGGAGGGGGCCGGGGGGCAGGGGCACAACAGCAACAGCGTGAGGATGGCCAAGACAACACACTCACTCAGGGGTCGGCGGCGCGGCGGTGCGGCGCGGGCCTGGCCGCCGGGTGGGCTGGGCGGGCAGGCCGGCCCGGCCCGATCTGGCAGTCACGCCTAACGACGAGGCAGGCGAGGATGAGAAGTGACGATACTCTTTCAGTGGTCGTAAGCAAACCGGTTTGTTTTCAATGCTCTCCGCCGTCGCGCACTTTGCCTGCGTGCGCGTCGCGTGCGCCGTCAGCGCGGCCAGCGCCCACGGGGCCCCAAGACCCTTTACCTTTTGCATTGTATCAAGCAGGCACCCTCCAAAAGTGTAGAAAACTCGGGACCGCTTTCGCTTGACAATCCCAGCAGCCGAGCAGCCACTCACACCTCTCTCGGCCGCCGGGTTGATCTGATTTAGGGGCCGTCTACCATCTGACCCTCATCCTTATCGGAAGGGGAAGGTCGCCGCATCCCAGTACAGTTCTACCCCTCCCGCCCGTCGCCCTGACAAGAGTGTAATCTCGGAACGGAAATGAGTATGTAGCGTAGCACTAACAAAACAAGACGAGTGGGGATGGAATTCCCAATAAAAGGGCGAGAGAAGAATTTCATCAATTTGATCGTGGGGCTTGGACTTCTAAAAGCGTTCTATGAAGACCCGGAAGGCGGCTTTTCTTTCTAATATTAGGATATAGGATAGTTACTGCCCACCATGTCCTGTTCTTGTGATATCCTGTTTCGTCGGTTTACCGGCCCAGCACGGCTCACAGCCCGGCCTACCAACTTTGCGATCTTCTCCCGTCCGAGACACGTGGGACTTCCCCATCATCGCCTCGCTGAAGCAGCTAGCTGCAGTACGCAGCGCTGCTCCGTGCACGCCGCCCACTACTGCTTGCCCGCCAGGTACCACCAGGCACCACCAGACACCCACAAGTAGTCCCAGTCCTACGACATCAGCCCGGCACAGGTCTTCACCGCGGGCATCCCCTTTCTCTGTGATATGTGTGTGTGTGTGTGTGTGTGTGTGTGTGTGTGTTTTCGTGTTTTTTTTTCGTTTTCCGATAGTCCTCAACTCCGATAGGCGTCTTGCACTGCTTTTCACCGAAGTATCAAAAGCTGTTGTCTATGCTTGATGCACTTTCCACTCTGCACTACTGCGTAATAGCTCGCGGAAGGAGGTGGCGTACGGGCTAGATCCGCTAGATCACGCCCGGATGGGAAAACCTCGTAATTTGCGTACGCGGCACTCTGCGCCGCCGTGCAGCAGCCCACCTTCCTCAACCCACCCACTCCTTGTGCCCCGCCCCGCCCCGCCCTCGTGGATAGAGCGCGGTGTCAGCTGATCAGTGGGTCGCCACCGCGCGCCCGAACAGCAGGCAACCATTGCTACTCGGGCGTCGGGTAGCCCGTCTATCGGCTGGGGACCGCCGAGGCTGCAGTCCCGCTCTCGTGTATACGAGCGACATTCGCTGCCACCCACTTCTTCCTTCCTTCGCAGTTTGAGTGCGTTTACCTATGGGCCAGCTCGACATGAAATGCGAGAGAAGAGCAGATGGTGCTGCGTGAGCCTCCGCCGTGCGGCCGCCCGCCGTCCCCTCGACGTCATTCCCGCTGACATGCCCGGCACACCGAGTGCAGTCAGCGAAAGCGCAGCGCAGGCAGGCCCACCGGTGTGCAGGGCCCAGTCAGCGCTTTGCGCGCCGCGGGCGAAGCCCTCAGCCGCCGCGCGAGGGCCGTCAGGCCGCCAGTGCGAGAAGCCCGGCGAGACACACGGGCACGACAACCTTTGCGTCGAAGAACCTCGAGTGGAAGTTGCGCGTACCCAATAACAACGAAGTGTCGTGACGATCAAGTCGCTCAGGATGGACCGTGTCCTCGTCATCGCCATCGTTTGCCTCTGGTGAGTTTTCTAATTGGCTATTTAAAAGGTACTGTGCCGCGTATGCATTGTTGAAGAGTTTGGTTTGGGCGAGTGTGCGTAGAATGCACTGACCTCGGCATCTGATGGCCCCGAGCTGGTAGACGACCCGTCCACACGTCTCCGTGCGGTACAGCACAGCGCAAGAGGCGTACTTTACTCGTTCAATGCAATCTGTCGGTGATGTAAGGTAGGAGCTCAGCGAGCTCAGTCACCGATCTGGAATTGCCTGTATCAGAAAATTAATTATGAGTGAACCACTGAGGAAAAGACGGCGCAGAGTATGCCAACTCTGTAGAGTGTAGGAGGTCCCGGACAAACGCGAGTGAAATTGTCAACATTGCAGAAGAGGTTGTTACTCTTGCCCTGTCCTGCTTGTCCTGTAGTGCGTTCGTTGGCGCACAAGAGTGCAAGTCCGAGGTGGGACTAACAGCGTCCACGACGACGTCCACCGTTACCGACAGCCCCAAGCCGCAGACGATGTCGACGCCCCTGTCGACGCCCCCGTCGAAGCCCGCGTCGACGCCCCCGTCGAAGCCAGCGTCGACGCCCCCGTCGAAGCCAGCGTCGACGCCCACTTCGAAGCCCGCGTCGACGCCCGCGTCGACGCCTGCGTCAACGCCCTCTCGGACGGCACCCCTGACCCTACCCGGCGTGCGTCCCATGCTGGACCGCAGCAACTCGTCAGAGCCCATTCCTTGCACCTGTGGCATCTTCCTGACCAACCAGTGCAAGGGCCGGGAGCAGCCCGTCGGCCTGCCCGCCATCAGCCACGAGTTTAAACGTGCCACCCCCAACACGGCGTACGGCGTGCGGCAGTGCACGAGCGCCTGCGTGGACATGGTGAGTGAGCGCGCAAACGAGAGAGAGAGAGAGAGAGAGAGAGAGAGAGAGAGAGAGAGAGAGAGAGAGAGAGAGAAATAATTTCTGTCTTTTTCCCCAGATTGTGAAGCATCTGCCAAATAGCGGCGCCATCCTCTGCTCGAGCGTCAACAAGACCATCTCAAGGGAGAAAGCATACCTTTTCATCAAGAACCACCGAAACAAGTGGCTGGCGACGAGGTTGTCGGCAGGGAAGGAGTTCTGCTGCAAGGATGGTCACGCCGTCCGCTGTCCGAAGTAAAGTATCGACCCCTGCAAGCATCTGCAAAACCACGTCCTTTTCTTGTAATAAATATTTTTTTACTGGTTAAAATAGCGACTCTCTTTACTTCTCGCCTCGTCAATCTCACACACCAACAGGGGCGCTAGACGGCAAAGGGCTCACTCAGAATCCCAATCTTTACAATGCAACACTATATACAATCTGGCATTTTTCAAGAGTCTCGTACGTTGTATACAAAGAGGCTGGCAGCGTGATGACACAGGGGGGTCACCCCATCTCCTTCCCTCCGGTGCCGCTACTCACCAACGGTTTAGCCTCCACCCTGCTATCGAGATGCACGCTGTGAGAATGAGTCTGCAGCGGCAGAGACGATGGGTATCAGCCAAGGGGATTAACGCCGGCCGCGCCTCTCGGCTTAAGTGATGGGGGTTCGGCAATAAAATTAGGGTTCCTGTAAAAAAATGCCGACGCTGCTCAGCGGCCACAGTTTGCCGGCGGCCGGCCTCCCTCGAGTCCTGCGGCTCCAAGCGCCTGTGAGGTAGGCAGTCCCGTTACGCAGCATAGGTGGGCGGGCTTGCCTATCGACAGGCGCTCGGAGCGTTGGGTGGGACGCACGGCCGCAGCAGTGCTTTAACATTCCTCCTAGCTCTGCACAGCTACAAACACAAATAGTCGCTAAATCCCTCTGGTATACATTTCTATTTAATTCCGATCGCTCATCAGATGCTCGCCCCGGGGCGGATGTGGTCCGCCGTCTAGTCCGGGAGGGGTGGAGGGAGCGGGATGGAAGTCGAAAGGGTGGGGAACATCATGGTCCGCTACTATTTAAGCGTCATCTCCATCGCCCGAGGAACACACAAGAGGTTGTTCGGTGAGAACGATGAAGTCTATAGTGGTGAGTAGATCCGACCTGGGCTGGACGGCCAGTTTATAGACAGATCTGAGCAGACTTCGCGCCTAACACTCTGACTTTTCCGTGTCTGCACAATTCAGTTTCTGCTGTGCGGGCTGGTGGTGCTAGCCGCCGGGCAGTATCCGTCACAGAAGCCCGAGCCTGCCTACGCACCGCCGCCGCCGCCTCCACCTCCTCCTCCTCCGCCACCGCCGCCCCCAGCACCACCAGCACCGCAGCCACACGAAACTTACGGCCCGCCAGCGGCTTTAGCGCCATCCCCTGCTGAGTACGCCCCTGCTCCAGCACCGGCTCCAGCGCCTGATGTGTACGCCCTGGCTCCAGCACCGGCTCCAGCGCCGGGCCCATCACCGTCTCCAGCACCTGCCGCGTACGCCCCAGCTCCAGCACCTGCTACGTACGCCCCAGCTCCAGCACCTGCTACGTACGCCCCAGCTCCAGCACCTGCTACGTACGCCCCAGCTCCAGCTCCTGCTACATACGCACCTTCTCCAGCGCCTACTGAGTACGCCCCAGCTCCAGCGCCTACTGAGTACGCCCCAGCTCCAGCACCTGCCGATTACGCCCCGGCTCCAGCGCCTGCTGTGTACGCCCCGGCTCCACCGACCCAAGAGTACGCCCCTGCCTCCGCCTCCGCTCCCAATCTATCGTTCCCCTCCCTGACCCGCCCTACCCCCGTTCAATCGTACACCGCCACACCTGCCCAAGCGTACGGCCCCCCGTCTAGGCCTGCATTCGCACCCCCGCCCCCACCCCCGCCTCCTCCACCACCACCTCCTCCACCGCCACCACCTGCTGCTGCTCCTGCCCCTGCACCACTGGCAGAGGCTGAGCCCTACATCCCTGCCGCACCAGCCCCGCCTGCCCCCTTCGAGCCCATCGCCTACGCCCCGGCGCCCAGAGTCCCCTTCGCACGCTACGGAAATCCCGACTTTTAATCGTAAGTAACAAAGCAACTGTTGCTACAGCTCATTCATGTCCATTCTAATTTGACTTGACAATTTCCGTTCCCATCTAGATTCACTGAAAACCATGCTGCACCACAACCCTTGTCTGTTGGACAGAAGCGGTAAGAGACTCGGTAGGTTGTCTGACGGTTGCCTTCCGTTGAGTCAAGGACCTTTGCTTCTCGGCGTTTTATACAATAAATAAAAATATAAATTTGCAGTTTCATCTCTGAGTTATCTTTTATTTGGCAACGACAGCGTATCCAATTATGGAGACGTGGTGACATGGTTGTATGGCTCCATATTCCAACGGCACACGTACAAACATTCAACACCCAATATTACTTCTGGAAGCTAAATACTCTTCTCTTTGCAAACACATATGCGCTTAAAAGAGAAAATTTCAGGAAATACCACCGTAATGGTAGCAATAATAATACAATTATACTTTCATATAGATTCAAAATGCTGAAATTCTGTTTTATTTAAGGCATATGCAATGCACTGCGTCACTGATCAGAATGAGTCTGTTTTGCACTAAACGTCTTAAATGAACAATTCTTATAATTTTAGAGCTATCCTCTACTCTAAATTCCATTTGACCCATTGAAGAAGTAGCTGATTTCTAGTTCTGAGGCTCTCATCGTGCTCGATCGCACAGCATCGTAGGGACGTCAAAATAAAATTAAACAAGAAGTTATGACATAAATATATGTATTTATAAGAACACAGTATTAAATGCTATAGAGGACATTATTTACAATATCATACACGCTTTTTCTGAGACCCAAACAGTACTCATAAAATCAAACAGTAGAACAGTCCCACTCCTTTACCCTTGTAGCAGAGATTTGTCACAAATTATCAAGTTGTCACAATGCACCTCGTTACTGCGAAGTGCTTTCTTCCATTAATATTGATAGAATGTTGACATCACTGGGATATTACAGTGGGATATCACCGCACGATATCACTAAAACATCACAAATGATGTCAGTTGGTAGCATTATGATAATTTGTGACAATTCCCCTGTAACAGTGGGGCAGTTAACAGTTGACACTAATTCCCACACTTCCCTCTGTTAAAATGGTGATACTGTGCTACTGTTGTATTTTTTAAAGTAATTAAAAAACAGGATTGCTTCTCGGAACAGAACAGGCGCAGCTGCTATACGTATTATTCAATGACATATTCCTCGGGGTCACGCGGTTTGGGGGAGCTGGGCAGAGAGCTCGTCGGAATGGGCGGTGGTGGCGGCGGCGGTGGAGGAGGCGGCGGCGGGGGTGGCTTCAACGGGATGTTCGGTGGCTTAGGCAGAGGGTTCATTTGCTCGTTGCTCGGGAGGGGCTGCTGTTGAGGACGGTACTGGGTCTGGGTCTGGATCTGCAGTGGGCTCGTGTAGCAGTTGTAAAACCGCTGATTATTCCGATATTCGTAGTAGCAATACAGCATTTGTTGGGGTCGGTACTGAGTCTGCTGAGGCTGGTACTGATACTGCGCCACCTGAGGTCGGTACGCATTCTGGGTCTGCAGTGGGCTCGTGTAGCAGTTGTAGTACCGCTGATTATTCCGATATTCGTAGTAGCAGTAGAGCTGTTGTCGTGGGCGGGTGGTCACGTACTGGTAACCCGCTCGGGTCGCTGGACCCTCCCTCCTGGGCTCGGCAATGGGTGCGGCGTAGGACTCTGGGTAATTGCCGCGTTGGGCCTGAGGTTGGCCGCAGGTCCCCGGGCCAGCGACACTCAGAACGGTGGCCAGCACAAGTGGCCACCTGTGGAAGCGCCTCTGCAAACAAACAGAGCAGGTGGACACTCACGTCACCGTTAAGCACACAACGAAACAGACCAACACTTGATTGATCCGCCGTTAAACGTTCGACTAGCACCGCAGGACCACAAATTTGTCAAATGTAACGGATTTCAATGGTCTTCGTACTTCACTGCTTAATTAGTTCACACACTTTTCGTCGTCTTGAAGAACACTGAATTGGTCCTACTCACGTCCATGGCACGCGCCGGGGTGTCTGGAGACTGGAATCCAGACTGCGGTGCCGCCCTGCTTTATAGCCTTGGCTGCCCCCTCCCCCCGCCGACCGACCGGAAGGGGGCGGCATCACGCAGACGACGCGTCGCATAGGTATGGTCGTCATCGATGTGAGAGTTATGCAAATATATTTCTGAACTGATCAGGAGAAGACGGAAAGAGATAGAGGCGCACAAAATTAGCGCCACATTTTCAGAATGACGCGGATCTCGTTTGAACGTGAGCCGCAACTCCCGTAACAAGATGTCTTTCGTCTTGTGTAAATATTTTTGCCACCTGCTGTGCTAAGCTGCTTAGCTCGAATGAGTTAAATCGTTTCCTGCCAAAATGTCAAAGGAATACAGAGAACGTCAATCGGGAATCATCTTTATCGAAACTTGGAAAACGGCAATCGCTTATCAAAACGCGAGAATAAAATTTTCGAGTAAAGACAGCCACAGTAAGGGACGGCCTAAAAACTACATAGTGGGAATATATCTGCCCTTACGAGAAGTAACATGCCGCGGGGAAAGGCCTCGCAGGGGAGCCCGCCCGCTACTCTGTAGCGGGGGTGGCCGGCGGGGTGACCGCCAGACAGGCGCGCACGAGCATCGCGCCGAGCAGCGCAGTCGCGCACCTGCCGCCCGACCGCAGCCGCGCTAACGACGGCCGCGAACCACCGCACCCCGTTTGCTCGCCTTTTCCACACAACCCTTTGGCGTCTTCCGCACAAAACCGCACGAACTGGTGCAACACAGTCAGACGGGAATCGCGCGAGCCGGCTCTCACACGCGGGGAATCCCTCGCGAGATAAATAAGACAGATATAAAAGAATGGTAACAACAATATTTATTGATCCCTTACTTGCATGATTTCGGACGGTAAATCAAAGGAGAGGCGAATGGGAAAGAGCCGCCACTCGAACCACACAGGGTGTCATGGTCTTCTTAATCAATAGGTCATTTTAATAAAAGAAATAAATAATAATCCTATGTTGTACAGCATGAGCTTGAGAAAGTAAGTCGGTGGCCATCATTCATCGGATGACGCGATGGGGCACTCCCGGCAAAGCGTGGCTGCATCCGGGCGCAGCGCGGCGTAGAGCGGTGCAGGCAAAGTCGCGGCCGCCGGGGTCCGCGACGAGGCCTAGGAGCACGTCAGGCCGCCGTGGCTCAACGCGTTGGCGAGCGTGGAGTGGCCGGCCGCCCGGGCCAGCTCCGCGGCGGTGCGCCCGCTCAGGTCCTTGGCGAAGACATCCACTCCGGACGAGACGAGGAACAGCGCGGCGCTCGTGCGGCCGAGCTGGCTAGCCTAAGAAAACACGCGCCAAAAGAGTGAAAACCGGGTAAGTAGGCTTTCAAATCACCCACCGCGGAAATGTGTATGCAGAGCAACACTGAAGCTCACCACGTGCAGCGGCGTCCTGCCCGACACGTCACGTTGGCCCAGGTCGGCGCCGGCGAGGCGGAATGACTTGAGGCGCTTCACGTCCCCGACGGCGGCCACGCTGCGTGGGACAAGACACACAAGACGATACGGTCAGCAGACTGGGTCACACGGGGAGTTCATAGCACCACGACGAAGAGCCCAGAGCGACCACTCACCTGCAAATCTTGTCGCCGATGGCTGTGTTGGAGGCGCCCAGGTGCGCGCCGCACGACCTCAGGGCCGTGATCACCTCGTGGCGGTCCATCTGCACGGCATCCAGCAGCGGGGTGCGGCCAAACCTGCAGGGAGGAGAGGGAGGCGGTGAGTCACGGAAGATTGGCGACGGCGGCCCGCGGTGTGTCACCCCCCTCCTAGCGGGCCGGCCCCCCGGGGGGGACTCACCTGTCCTTGACGTGCACGCCCGCGCCGTGCTGCAGCAGCAGCCGCACCGCCTCCAGGTTGCCCTCGTAGGAGGCCACGTGCAGCGGGGTGCGGCCCTCCATGGTCCCCGCGGCGGGGTCTGCGCCCTGCAAACCGATAGTCACGGCGGTGTCACGCGGCAGAGCCCGGGGGAGAGCGAGCGCACTGTGCTCCGCCGCGCTCTCTACTCCACACTCACCGCGTCGATGAGGGCCGCGAGCGAGGCGGCGCCCAGCCGGGCCGCCGCGGCGCACGTGATGGCCGGGATGAGCAGCTCCGCCACCTGCGACGGCTCCGCGCCCAGCGCGCGCACCACCGAGTCCAGCGTGCCCCAGTCCTCCAGGATCCGGGACGGCGCCGTCAGCTCGCCCCGCAGGCTGGTGCGCAGGCGCTGCGCAGGTCACATAGAAGGGGTCATGCACCGCTCAATGCGTAAAGGGCGCGCGGTGAGGGTTTCGGGCGCTTATACCTCTTTCTTCGTCTCCAGGTCCCACTCGTCCTTGGACAGCACATAAGACAGCTTGGACAGCGCCGCCTCCGGGGTCATGTCCGCGCCGGCGACCACGCCCATGTCGTACAGCACCTTGCCCATGGCGTACAGGTCGGCCACCTGGCCGTGCATGCACTGCGTGCAGTTCACCAGGATGATGCCCCGCGCCGCGGCCTCCCTCAGGGCCTCCAGGAGGTCCGTGCGGTTGCCCGGGACGTTGCCGGCGCCATACGTCTGCAGCACCGCGCCCTTGAGCGGAGGCGCTAGGAAGCTTCGAACCTGCGGATGGAGACTTGGGTAAACGCGACGCGCCAGCAGACTCGTCAGCCGTGATGGTAGGCCACCCAACGGGCACCACTGCTCACCGGGTGGCATTCGGTGCGAAACTGAGCACTCCCCACCGTTCGCCCCTTCCCCCTTGCTTGGGACAGGGGTAGGGAAAGCTCACTTTTGGACCGAATGACAATTGGCCTCAAAGAGATAAAATTGTCTAAATGCGACATTTTCCTTAATGTACTCGACCGATTTTTTTTTTGTTTTTGTTTTTCGATAGTTGAACCTCAGAAAAACCTAAAACGACAGCACCAAGTAAGCAGCATAAAAAGGGTACTTCTCAATATGCTGATTTACTTGTTCTCCGTCGCATAAATAAAAGAAACGTTCGATTTTACGCACCACATTTGTCGAAATGTTGGGAAAGATGCGCAGTAGCCCGACATTGTTATTCATTTTGCAGTGGACTGTGAACGGCTCCGTGGTCTTGGGTCTGTACACCAACCTATGATCCACTGTATGGGGTAAAAAAAGGTGGTGGCATTATTTAGCATATAATTTTGAGGTAGCTGAAAGTTCAGAATGAGCGACAAAAAAGAGCGAAATGCAGAAATGCAAGATTTAATTATTTCTGTTGGGGGGAAATAATTTCAACTCACCGTCGATGTTGATTCCGATGGTGGCTAACGGTGGGAAGTTCGGGGTGTCAAAGGCGCGCAAGGAGTGGGCAGACACCTTGACGGTACGATTTCCCCGGAGCAGGCGCGCGCCGAACATGACGGACACCTCGGGGATGACGTAGCAACCCGCGAGCAGCAGTGACACCAGAAGATTGTCCCGCCCATCGGACCGCAGTTCCCATAGCGGGATCTAGACCACCAAATCCCCGCAATTTCGGTCACCGAAATTTCCACAAATATATAAACGTTAAAAAAGTTCCCTTTCATTTTCTTACCTGCGAGCCGGTCACAATGACCGTCTTGCCAAGGTTCTCCAGCATGAAGGACAGGGCTGAAGCCGTGTAGGCGAGGGTGTCTGTTCCGTGGAGGACGAGGAAGCCGTCGTACTGCTCATAGTGGGCCTATGGGCATCGGACACAAGGGGGCGTTTAGCGACTAGCGGTGCTGCAGACGACACGCGCCGCTCCAGGGCGCCGTCACTGCGCCGCGCGCTTACCTTGATGTCGGTGGCGATCCGCACCCAGTCCTCCACGCCCATGCAGCTCGAGTCCAGGAGCGGGTCGTACTCCCTGATGGTGTACAGCACTCGGCGGCCCTCCTTGGACGCCCTGGGAACACCATACCACAATAAGACGCGTTGGTGGAGAGGTCGGTCATTTTTGTTGGTGGCCGCCGCGCCGCCTCCGCTCGACCCTGGGCCTGCTCACCCGCACCCGAGCCGCTCGCCGTGGCCTTGCCCCTCTCTTACAGGGGTTCACGATACCCAAATCGCATACAATTTAGCGGCGACATGCGGCGCTGGCGGTGGGCCCCAACTGGGCCCGGGCGGCACGGGCCCCCTGGCTGCGATGGCCAGTTGTCGCACTTAGGCGGCCAATACTCATTAGTACAGGAGGCGGCCGGACCAAACCGACTGCTCTTTTAAATTAACGGCTGCTGCTCCCAAAGAGGAAAAGTGTCCGCTCGTCAAGTGTCGGCAGTTCACTTACGGCAGCACCAGAGGTCCGTCCACGCCTTCACCAAAGCGCCACCTGGAGTACTCGTTGTCGTGGAAGGTGGTGCTGGACCTGAGCCGACCCGCTAGTCGATTCCTTAAGGGGGCGAGTCCTGGAAATAAATAATTACATTACACGGCTGGTCGTTCGCTTACCGAGAGTACAAGCTAGCTCAAACATTTTATTATTTCAACAATTTTCGAGAGTAGTGTTGAGCATTCAAACAAACCCTTTACAATTAATTCTTTCTATCCCCACCAAAATCCGCACCCGTGGGAGGAAAGGTGAGTGAACTCAGTCCTAATAATAACACCTGTACTTAGCAAGTGCTGGCCAAGCAGCGAGAACAGTCGACGCGTCGAGTATAATGCGCTCGAGTGGCGTTAAGAGTAGTGTTGCTGTATGGTCGCTGCGCCCCGTTGCCCCGCGTGTATGTACAAGCCCGCAGGCCACTGGTGCGTACGGTTTGCCCATCGTGTCTAGCAGTATTGTGGCCCCGTGCGGATAGGCAACCCGTCCGCACGTCTGCATGCGGGCTATCGTCCGACGCACATGCTCCAACAACGGGGCACAGCGACCACCCTTTAGTGTAGAAGTGCCCTCCTGCCAGCCCCCTTCATAGTAGTACAGTGTGCTGCTGCACCGCGACATATGGCTCGCGACAACCCCACAACAGTGATACGCTTTTGACCCTGAAAATCAGATGGTAAACAAAACAACGTTATGTGTCACATAGGCCAACAGGCCACGAGTGTTGCAAAGGAAGTTTGTTCATGGTGTCGGAACTTAATGGAAGCGGAAGATTGTCGGGCCGAGGGCGCTTGCACTGCTTGAGGTAAGGGATGGGGGAAGGGCAGCACTCGGTCTTATCTCATCGATAACCCGCACGCGCTACTACTCCCACGCGTACCGCTTACCGCCGCCACAACGCAAGCCGTGCAAGAGGGAAAATACTTGTGGAAGATGCCCCGACGACCGCGCCAGTTTTCCTCCTGGACTGGAACAACGGCCAGTGGAACAAAGTCCCATCCCCCCCATGTGAGTCGTTTGGCAGAGCGGCCGTGCCATTGAGTGAGCGTGCCATGATCAAGGTCACCTAATATCATAGCGTCTTCAGGGCAACCCGCAAGAGTCATCCCCGACAGGTGATCAAACAACATTTTATTCTTGTTAGTCGGCCAGAGCCCGCGGGGGGAGGGGGGTCGTGCGTTTCCTTGGACGACAGACCCAGAACAAGACGCAAGCAGGAAACAAGTTTATCGCTCTGTTCAGCTAGCTGTTGTTTGGCTCGTCAGCCAAATTCAATCAGGATCGACCGGTTATTCTATTATCGCCTGTAAAGCGCTCAAATTGGCAGAAAAAATAACGTTGTAACAGGAGAAGACAACTTGAAACAATGAAATGAAACGCGTTTCCAACAAGTCACACAAAGGTGTCAATTTTTGGAAAAAGCATAGACAACTTTTGATCTAATAGTGATGAACCATCAATGGGACACTAAAATGGGTTAAAATTGTTGTTTCAAAACGAATTCGCTGTTCCAAGCAACAGCGCAACTAGGTAGCAGTGCTCAGCCCCCCCCCCCTCTCTCCCCTCCCGACTACTGAAAGCGGCGCCTGCACTCGGCATTAGCTCGTCTTACATGACAATAGAACTGTGATGAATGCTGCCTAGCCAGGGACAAGACAAAGAATGACACCTTTCAGGGTGGGTCAGGGGTGGGTCGGGATAGCAGAATTCCCGCGTAAAACAGCGCTGCGTCCCGTTCCCGGGTCCTCCGGGCATTGTCGGCCACCCAACGTGAGGGCATTGCTCTCTGTTCGCACGGTAGGAGGCCCTCCCTCTAAAACGGCACTTTGCACTCTCCCTCAATTTCCTTGCAGAGTTCACCATCCGTTTGCACCCATGCGGTCTACCTACCTCCGGAATCGCTCTTGACCATGCCTATGGTGCCGCCGGTGTAGAGCACCAGCACTCTGCTCTCTGGGTGGTGCTCCAGGGCGTCAAGCACCCCGCTCTCCTGCTCCACGGCACTGCCGACCGCAGGATGAAGGCCGTCGTCGTGGAGGCGCTCGTCCAGCACGCCGCCGTTGACTCCTCGCACGCCCCCGTCCACGCCGTTACGCACGCCATTCGCCAGACAACCGTTCACGCGCGAGGCTCCCTTCCCGCAGCCGCATATGTCGTCCTTGTTGTTGTTGTCGTCGTTCAAGCACATTCTGGCGAGGGCTTCCAGTCCGCCTGCAGCACCTCCGTGTCGGGCGCCACATTTGCCGGGGGCCGAGGGCGTCTCCTCAGCACCGACGTCGAGAAGCGGGAAGGGGCCGGCAGTGGCGCCGTGCCCGGTGGCGCTGGTCATGGCGGCACGTGTCAGCAGGTGGTGCAGGTGGCGGCGCCAAGAATCGAGGAAAAGGCGGCCGATGTGTGGCCTCACGACATGCACGACGTTGACTGAGAGGCGCGCTCCATGCGCGGCGCGAGTGGCGTAGAGACCAGCACCAGGAGGGACGCCGTCGTCTGCTCCGCTCCGAGCACAACACTGCAGCTGCAGAGGCAGACGACGCGCGCGCACGCGCTCGCTCGAGCTCGCTCACGCCCCCTCCACCCCACCCCCCTCTCCCCGCCACGGACGAGCAGGGTCTGCGTCTGAAAGAAAGGGGTGATGGTCGTCCTTGTCACACCGCGCCAACCGTATAGGACCGCGGCCGGCTGTTCGCTCGCGTGTGTGACGAGGTCAGAGATAGCGTGTGTTCGTGGTGCTCGTAGGACCTATGGGGCAGGGAAGCCCTCCCCTCCCCCCCCACCCCCTCTCTCCACTTGCCGAAAGTGACGCAATACAGCCTGCCCTATGCTCATGTTGCAGTCAAAGAAGGGTTATTCTTAGGCCGGCGTGCGACCGGCGAGATCCTGACTCGGGCAGGCATGCCTCACGCCCTCGATCATACCGATTATTCCTCCGAACGATAACTATTTCTTCTTCTGTGATCGACTAAACAAGAATGCGTTCATAATGAATGGTCGATAGTGGCGTTCCGAGGAAGAAAAGAGTTGTCACCTGATAAATTATAAATCGAGCGTTTAACCACGTTTAACCTACGCGCCAAAGATGTGGAGTATGAAAACTGAACCCTTCAATTTCTCATTACCATGTTTTTGTTTTTTGGCGCGTATTGTGTCCGAATTCATCAATCGAATTTATCTGTTCCATAGTATTATTATTTTGAACCCGCAATATATTCTGTGACTAAACACAAGTAGACTACTATGGCTGACGTGAAATTAAGAAGACTCGTGTCCTCTGCTTTCAAACTCAGTGGGTTTTCTCTCCGAAGGTGAGTAAACCTTTTGCAGAAGGGCGACTGTTGTAGCAGACCGCGCGGCTCATAACCTTGCCTTTGTTTATTGACATTTTAATTTTTGAAGTAAATTAAGAGAACCAAAAATCTCAAACTTCTTAAAAACAAGTAAAACAGTTTATGTTTTAAAAAAAATTGTCCAAAATACAGAAATAAACCATTAAAAAAATTGATTTCAAATTGAACCCGAAAAGACCAAAACTCTTGGAATTTTGATATTTTTTCAAATTTGTTTCGTACAGAAATGAAAATCAAAAATTCTGTAACAATTCATTTTCATCATAAAATTTAGCACCCCAACTCTTACACACAAAATTTGGGATCCAATGAGTATATGCCTCTATCAAAATAGTTCCTTTACCATGACAGTTTGAGATACAGAGTTAAGATTCATTGCAGTAGTTTTTTGTTTTTTCTACAAGTACTTAAGTTCCTCACTGAAATGGCTGATGCAGTCTTCGGTCTACTAATAAAATATATATGTATTTATTTCCTTGTTGCCTTCCTCAGCGATGCTTCATCATTTCTAATGGTTCAACTAGAGCCACTTAGTGACGAAGAAAGGAAAGAATGGCTAGATCGCCTTACCGATCACATCCAAAGGCAGTCACTCACTTCACCTTCTATTGAAAAAGATCAGATTGAACGTGCAATTGAGGTGATGTGTTTAAAATAGCCTTCAGTGGTAAGTTTGTATCACACTTTCACCAGTTTAAAGTTAAAACTTACTTTTTCAGGAATGTTGCCGAAGTGGAACAGATGAGAGTGAACCTGTAATGACAGTTATAAGTGCTTTTGACGTCCCAAGGTTTCATTATCATGTTGATCGCAAAAAATTCTCTATGATCACTGGACAGAGACCCGAAGTATTAGGTTCTGCTGTTGATAAAGCACGGCTATTTAAAAATAGGTGATTAACTTTGTTTTTCAACATTTTGACTTAGTTTTAGTTCTTGGCAATTTTCTACTGTCATATCATGATTTGCTATCTGTTGAAGATATCAACTTATACAGCAAAGGACTTCACGGCACCATCTATTTGCACCCTCCGTAACTGAGTCTTTGGGAGATGTGGATGAGAATGGAGAGCCAAGAGTAAAGAAATTTAAATTATCACCTGTAGAGAAACTGCTCTGCACATCATCTTACATTCCAGATGCTGTTGTGTTAGGCATGTTAACACAACTCAAAGAAGGAAAATTCTATTTGGAAGACCCAACTGGTGCTATTCAGCTTGATCTGTCAAAGGCAGTATCCTTTTACGTCATGCTAAAATCTATTTGTGTACTTAAAATCTCTCTGCCTTTATTCCTTAACTTTTAAAAGTCTTACCATGTTGGTTTACATACTGACAATAGCATTATATTAGCAGAAGGTTATTATGAAGATCGAATTCTTCATGTCAACGGAATTGGCCAACCACCTGCTGAAACATCCAAAACAAGTCGGTAAGGTTTTACTTAAAAGTTAAGAGCACTATTTTTATGTTATTACTTCAACATTTTTTCATGGTTTGTATGTGTTTTGGTATTATTTAATCCCTATACAGTGCATACTTTGGAAATGTCAATACCTTTGGTGGACCATCTGAAACTTGCTTGAAAAACTCAGCCAAATTATTAAATATTGAAAAAAGTAATGAAGATGGAATGATAGTGTTCATTGCCGATGTCTGGCTTGATCGTCTTAAGGTAAATTGCGTGGTTAAGTAATCTGTTAAGTTACTATTGATTTTGCCTGTTCAACAATCTGTTTTCTGCAATCTACCAGGTTATGGAGAAATTGCGGTCAATGTTTGAGGGATTTCAAAGCTTTCCACCCATTGCATTTGTATTGATGGGTGACTTTTTGTCTGGACAATTTGGTGCAGCTCATTGCACTGAATTGCGATCTAGGTTTAAAAGTCTGGGTGAACTTATTCAGCAGTTCCCACTATTGATAGAGAAAAGTCAATTCATTTTTGTCCCAGGACCATGTGATCCCGCCGGACCTAAAATCTTACCCAGGTATTTTTTTTTTTAGTTGCAAATTTGTACATACAAACTGCTTGCTTTTGCTTTAAAAAAATAAATATTGATAGCTTATATTATTTGTAGGCCAGCATTTCCTAACTTTGTTACTGAAGAGTTAATGAAAAGAGTACCAAATGCCATTATGGCCACTAACCCTTGTCGCCTACAATATTGCACCCAAGAAATTGTGGTTGTACGGGAGGATCTGGTCACCAAAATGTGCAGAAATAACATACATTTTCCAACTGAGGGCGAAATACCTGACCATGTAGGTTGTGAAACTATATCACAATATCACTGTTTAGATTTCAACTCATACGAATTGTATTTTTCTTGCTTGTAGTTTGCTCGAACAATAATTTCACAAGCTCACCTGGCTCCTCTTCCGCTTAGTGTGTGTCCAGTGTACTGGCCTATGGATGCTGCACTCAGGTTGTATCCTCTGCCAGATCTGATTGTAACAGCTGATAAATTTAACTCCTTTCACACTAGCCACATGGACTGCCAGGTCATGAACCCTGTGAGTTTAAGAAAATCTTCATAATTAAAGCAGGCACATCACTTTAGTTCATGTTTAAATCTTCCATTCTTCTCCTTTTTTGTTGCAGGGCTCTTTTCCTAGAAGTGAATTTTCCTTCAAGGTATATGTTCCATCTACTAAAACTATTGAGGACAGCCAAATACCTGATGAAGACTAGCAACAGTTGTGTAAAGAAGAATTTGAAAGGCATCAAAGAACAACACATTTGGAATATGAATTTTGTAAATAATTTATATCTTCTAGCAATAATAAATTAAAATTGTTATTTTACTCGATAAATTGCTTCTTATGAAGATGATTTTAACTTTTACTAATCCTCATTCCATTATGGTAAGAAGTAAGTTAGTAATCAGTGTTTCTTACAACCCACTCAAATGTACACCGTCCATCACATAAAACTTGGAGTCCTCATTTGAGGTCAATATTAATTCAGTCTTGGTTTCTTCTCTGGTGGAGGCTTCATTCTTGGTTGAGATCCTGGTTCAGTTTTAACTTCAGGTTTTATTTCAGATTTTATTTCTGGTTTGTTTTCCACACCTGTTGGATAAACAGGGGGTTATGACAGTTTCAATGAGTTCCTAGAAAATACTCATATGATTTAAATTTCATCTAGAGCTTACCATCTGTTGCAGCAGTAATTGCTCTAGGTTGAAGAGCTGGTTCTGGGAACTTTCTAGAAAGTTCTGCAAGAAGCATATGAACACGGTGGCGTTGAAACTGAGAACCTGCCTGCTCTTTGACGGTATCTTTTTTTGACAGAGCAGCTTGCTTTTCTCTCTCACGACTTTTTCGATCTTTGAAGTCCCATGAGTACCCCTTAGATGGATGGTAACGGGAGAATGAACTGGCCTCATCAAATGCTGACTGTAGATGATGCACAGTTGAGAGCTGTAAAATTAAGATTGAGATGAATTTAAACCAAAAAGTATACTATGTCAAAAATACAAATTTATCTCACTTACAAGCCTAGAATTAAGAACAGAATTTAAATCTGGAGCTTGATAAATTATTCCAGCAATTATATAATAATCAGCCATGGGTGTAGCTTGACCAGGAGAGTGTCTGTGTTGCTTTCGGATAACATAAAGAATCGGTTCTTGAACATGGAGAAGGATATATTCCAGACCTGTCATGGAGCTATAAAGAAGGGAACGAAAATTGCATGTGTCTTTCCCATACAACTTAATAAACAAAAAAGTAGAAGGATAGTTGAAACATGACTTACTTGAGCTGTTCCATACCAAGACGTTGCATCCGAACCACTTCATTGTTGCACGTCCTATCATAAAATGGGTTGCTTCTCTCGGAAAAGTAGTCCATAACATTGGTTGGGTTCAGCATTGGAATCCATGCACTGTCGTGCCATGACAGTGTCAGCGGGTTTTCTGAAAGAGAGTAATTAACCAATAATTGTTAAATATTAAACGTAGTTGAACATAAATACATAATATTGTAAATTAGAAAAACAGACTTATTTTTTTTTTTATTTTACGATCAATTCCTCTAGCTAGAACCACAATTTAGAAGAAAGAACATGCAGCAGAAAGTAACAAAATTTTCATAACCAAAGTTTACCTGGTACGCCCTGCAGTCGTCCTGGCATCATGCTGTGTCATATAAACAAATCGTGTCTGAATTAGGGCTTGCTGGTACCGTATACCTCACAGGAATGGAAGTGCGATGCGCTAGGTATAGGAATTAAATGAGAATCATGCTAGGAAGTCGGATCCGGTTGATTTGGCTGTCAGTGTTCTCTGTACACAACAATAACAAACAAACAACAACAACATGCGCAAGCGGATTATTTGCAGATTAGTCGACTGCGAATAGGAGGTTCCTCCGTTGTCCGGTCTAAACAGATGAGTAATTCCATAGTAATTTTGTAATTTTGATAAATTCTAAGATGACGGACATACCAACTTGTCCGCCAACGTTAAAAGCCATCCAGCACTATCTAAAAATAGCCCAAGAACATGCATCTCGGGATCCGGTCGTTGCTTATTGGTGTAAGTATTTATGTAATATGTCTCCTATGTCTCATCAATAATCTTTAAATGGTTATGTCAATTGCTTACCAGCTCCTTGTCATAACTTATTTTTGTGTATTTGAGCCGCTAGGCAACACAAGAATTCACCTTTTTATCAAATTTGTGTTGTGACAGAACAAATTCAAGTATACTACACAACAACAAAGTTCACAACAACTTACCTGTCAAACCCAACAGTTGAAGCTAGCGAGGGTTGAAGCTTTTGTAACACCACGTTTTATCCACAGGTCAACTTCATGCTCTGCAAAGTGCTTTGGGTATAGATCGAAAGTCAGATGAGAGTAAAGCCTTTCTTGTGAAGATGATGGATCGTCTGGAGGTAATGAAGAAAGAATTCAAAGACAATGAAGCTATTACCAATGAAGTCGCTGCTCAGGCTCATCTCGAAAATTATGCTTTAAAGCTCTTTATATGGGCAGATAGTCAGGATAGGGCTTCAAACTTTGGAAAGTAAGAAATAATGTGCAATAGAATCTGTAATTTAGGTCTCCCTGTTTGTTCTGTATTTATCAGTAATACAATAATACTTCTTTCCCAGGAATGTGGTGAAAGCATTTTATACGTCAGGCATGTTGTTTGATGTTTTGACAACTTTTGGAGAGCTGTCAGAGGAAATTCAGCAAAATCGCAAATATGCTAAGTGGAAGGCCGCTTACATTCATAACTGTCTTAAAAATGGAGAAACCCCTGTAGCAGGGCCAATGCAAATGGAAGGAGATGAGGGAGAAGAAAGTGGAAATGATACCACTGGAGGTTCAGAAATCTCAGGTAGTGATCAGAAGTCTATAAGTGATTTGCCCACTGTTCCATCGCCATCCAGTCCAGGATCTAGTAATGCTGTGGATGATTTTGGTAATGCTTTGGGAGCATCCTATTTTGTTTGTTACTTTTCTATCAAGAATATGATTTTCATTAATTTTTAATTTATTCCTTCAAATTGCAGGACTTCCTCAAGTCCCTCCAAGGTTACCTGACAATCCACCAACACCAACAAATCCAGTGCTTCCTTCTCCTGATTTTGGATTCAACTTACCATCAACCCCGGCACCTCAACCCTCATTACCACCAGCTCAACCTGTTGTTCCATCTCCCAGGCCGTCCCTGCCACCAGGTGATATGTCATGGAAGCCTAGTGGCTCAGGTAATTCCCCTTTCACCTCTTTGCTGACACTGAATTCCTTAGCAATCTACACAGTATCATTACACATGTTTTGGTTGGTTCACCATTCTCTATGATTTATTTCCTTTCAGGTGGAGTGCTTTTGACTCCGGAACAAATGACTAAAGCACAAAAATATTGTAAATTTGCTGGCAGTGCTCTATCCTATGATGATGTCCCTACAGCATTACAAAATTTGGAAAAGGCAATGCACTTATTGAAAACTGGAGTGGACCCACGATAAGTATACCACCATGGTCTTTTAACTTAAACATGACCTTTTCTGTTTGCTTGGAACAAGTGTAGCATGATAACTGCTGCAGAATTTATTTACTTTTTACCATTTATGTGCTATAAAAGTCTAATTGTTTCAAAATTTTAAAGTATTTTCGGGGTAGTTATTGAATTTAATTCTTTGTTAGCTTTAGTAAAAGTAAACTGATGTAAAGTGATGAGACAGTAATTTTTGTTGGTAGTATGTATACTGAAAAGTGATCACCATCTTAAAGAATAAATGGCACAGCTCTTTAATATTATTTTAATAACTGCATTGACTTATACTGTCCAAGTTAACAATCAAGTGTTTATTTTTGCCAAATGTTATTTTGTGTTACTTAGCAAATTACTATAAATTACTTAACCTGGAAATCAATCAATATCATAGTGATATATTTATTTGACATCCTCACTTGTTAGAAGTTACATACTGTCAGTCTTCTCAGTTGCAATCAATTATGAAGAAATTTGAATATCAATCTCGGTGACATTTTAGAACATTTCAGCCCTCCATGATGTGTCATGGCCTAGTAGTGCAGTACATTAACTCACTACCTTCGGCTCACTATTGATGCCTATGAATTAACGTGGGAGTGTGACCACTTGGTAGTCATGCCGCAAGGAACATGTTAACGTTTTGCTAGCACACAGTGGGACAATTAATTTACAAGAGACAGATCATATTCAAAAGTAGTAGACAATACAGAAGGAAAGGCAATGGTAGTTGTGACAACGTGACAACATATGGAAAACATAATAAGCGTCAACAGTCCCCTTTAATCAAATATACCATAAAAAAATGAATAGGGAATTCGTTTACTAGTGTAGGAAAAGTAGAAGTGACTGTGACTGAGCAAACAAGCAAGGCTGGCAAAAGTGACGACACAAACCTAAGATAGGAATTGGCAAATGTTCAAGAATAAGAAATGCTAAAGCAATAAAATCACACTATTGAGATTAAAATTATGTAGATGAAGAAATCCCAAATATATGAAAGGAATACACAATGATACAGTAGAAAAAAGCTAACTTCACAGAAGTGCTTCAGAAATTCACGCCCTGGGTATACTTAATGCAGATGATGGTGTGTTTTGAGGCAAGCTGTGTTCTCGAAGTGTAACCGAATGTCCACATCTCATGTGATGCACACGCGGTTGATTTCAAAGGCTCGTGGCACTCTGATCGCCACACAAGATGGTGACAGGGTCGACTTTGCTCACCAAGTACTTTAGCGGATTAGAAAGGATGCAGAGTCTCTTTGGAACACTCTCCACACATTTCTGCCTGCGCGTCGCCACAGACAGTTAACAATTTCCTGAGTAGGATATACATGCTCGTAATCTAAGTACGCACAATAAACGTTTCTCGAGGTGACGAAGTTGGTCTGTAAGCTGTCTACTTTCTGAACACGCCCGCCCTGGGCGGGCCGCCGTCTTGACACAGTTGCTCGGCGGGTTGGCCTACCCAGCGCCTAGCAGACGCTATCATTAGCGGTCATTGTGCGGACACCTTGAGGAATTGCAGGCGGTGTTCCAGTTGGAGACATCTTCGTTTCAGGTTCCATTGGGGCCGGTTTGCAGTCCAGACGATGGAGTTTCTCCAAAAGTTTTAGGATGAATTGTGTCTGGTCTAACGTGACACGTGACAGCCTTGGCGTCCCTGTCGTTGCATTATCATTCCCCACTGCATGCGCATATCCCAAGTCATTCATACTCGAATGTCTTGCAAGTTTGTCTTTGAGGGTCTGATATGGGGGACAGATATTGTGGTAGGAACATATAACAACATACCAGGTGGCAGGTGGCTGATTTCCCTGCGCACTTTTGTAGTCATGCTGTACGGCACGCAGGCATGCGGGTGGGCTTGCCTATCGGCACTGATCATGGCGCCTTGCGGGCTCAGCGAGTAGGCAACCCGCCTACACGTAGGAGTACGGTACAGTTGGAGCGTAACTAGAAAAGGGCGCTGGGTGAATCAGCTACCAGCTACCTGGTATAGTGCAAACAATAATAGTAGTATTCGATCATCTTTACAGTGTTCGACATGGGCGAATCAATTATTATTATGATTTGAAAATACGCCACAAAGTGTCTTTGTTTGGTTTTCACGCCTCGCCGCCACGCCACCACCACCTTCTGTGCCCCCACCCCGCAACCTCATTGTACTCCTGTTCATGGCTTTCCGTGTTCACGTGTGTCCGACCGGACGCCCCCTTTTACATGGTAGCACTATCTCCAGACCCACTCACTGCGATCTGTGATTGTTCTCTCCCACCGGGTCGCCGCCACAGCCACCCGTTGCCGTGCTCACTGTGCCGTTTTGTATTGCAAGTGTTGTTGGCCCAACAATCCGTGTCGGGATTTATACGCCAAGGTGTGTCGAGTTCGATGGTCCGATCCGTTCGGGTCAAGCGGTCATGCGATGCTCGATCGACTACCGACCTGATGTTCAGTACCATACCAATTCCGTCCGACTTTGATACCATGCTGCTGCCAGCACTTTCGATCTTAATACTTTTTACTCGAGTCGACAACCAGTTCATTAACAGCTACGCAGTAAGTGGAAAAACCCCAAAATAGTAAAATTTGCAAACGGATGTTCAGGAGTTCGGGATGTTCAAAACTCAAACTTTTGACCGAATGAGATTTCGTGTGTATCGCCCTTCCAGGGCCCTATTGATGTGAAAATCGACCACATCGAAGCATGTCCTCAGGCCCTTGCGGGCCCACCTGGCCTTTTCAACTTTACGCAGCGATTAATACGAGACAGGAAGAACCCTAAACGCTTCTATTACACTGGCGTTGTAGCTCACCGTTTCGACTTGGGTTCGACAATTGGGGTGCGTAGATGGCAATGCAATAGAAGGTTGTACACTCAGAAATCCGTGTTCTTGATTCAAGAGCAAAATTCTCTTAAATGAACGAAGAGCATTTTGTACTTGATGTAAGAGCAATTTCTTTTGTACTGAGACAAATCGCTTGATTTAAGTACCAAATTAACTTGGACCCAAGTGCAATAGACGCTTAATTCAAATACCACATGCACTTGGGTCCAAGTTTATTTGGTACTTGAATCAAGCGTTTTTCTCTCAGTACAAGAAAAATTGCTCTTAAATCAAGTCCAAAATGCTCCTCATTCATTTAAGAGAATTTCGACATTCTGAGTGCAGTGTGGCGTGGTGTTACGTTTTCTCACGCTTAGGCCTATACTAATTATGATTGATGCTTGCAGCTTTCCGTTCGCGTGAGCAGCTGGAGCCAACGCGGGGGTTGGAAGGAAAACGCCTACCATCACACATTTGCACATGTGTGTGATGTCGCCATGTTGTGGAGCACCCCTTCTTTTAGGCGTCGCATCGCTGCAACTGCTCACAGGAAGTTGGAGTGCCCTTTCCCAGCGGTTTGTTAATTTTTATCGGATATTTTTTTGAGTTTGTATTGTTGTACCTTTTCAACTGCCTGTCTACGAGGTGGCTCTGACTACCCCCGCTTACTTCCGTAGTCAAACGTGCCCTACAAAGATCCACCCGTTTCCCTTTTCCCTCCGTTCGTTCGTTCTCGTGCCCGTAGCCCCCACGCAGCCACTCTGGGCGGGCCGCCGTCCACACGTAGGTGCTTGGCGGGTTGGCCTACCCAGTGCGTGGCAGGCGCTATGGTACGCGCCACCCCGTGAAACGTCCATCATTGTGACGACACCTTTAGACTGTACCGTGCTCTGAAAACCCAATAGCATGCATCGTATGCTTTATATACAGTATGCATGATATGCACACTTTATCTAACGCATGCATTGAGATGCGTGCTGTATCTAACGCGCATGCACGAGATGCATGCTTTATCTAGTGCATGTATTGAGGTGCATGCTGCACCTACAACTCGTTTTAGTGGAACATTAACCCAGCGAGCTCTTCGGTTTTATTTTCGATCAGCCCATTGGATTTCTCGTGAAATTTCCGTTCGAACGAGCACACATGTGACAAGGTTCCGAGCTTAAATACAAAAAAAAAATAAAAAAATGTTGGCGTTATCAAACTTTAACCCGCTTCGCTCTGCTACCCCATGCAAATTGAGCAAGCAACGGGCCCCTGTTGTCATTCCCTCCAAATACAGGTGGTAAACTCTCGTTCCTTTTTTTCCTGCAGTCCCTGTGGAAATTCTCAGATTTTCCAGTTGATTCGTCAACTACAATGAAAGAGTTCATCTATGGTAAATGGCGAGTCGATATTCAGCTTGCGGACGGCAGCAAAGTGTTAGGCTGCATCCGGGAGTTTGTGGAGACGGTTGCCAGACTACCAGGCTCGGTGACGACGGAACCTAACTACACTGGTACCTTGGAAATTGTGCCAATAAAAGCTCTTTATCCGTGACACTTTGCTGTATTTACTTTCAAATCTCCTAAACTACGAACGTAGTGGTTTGTACTTGGTGACCGTTCTATCGTTGCATTGGACTAGGCTAGCCTGGGCTGAGCGGCCAAGGTGATGGCCAGTTGATCCAGAATCGCTTGGACCTCGGGGGACAGAACGATGACATCGATGGGGTCAACGACGGGTGCAAAGTTGGTCACCGACACGACGGTCTTGCCTGCTATGTCGTCCAAGTACCGGTTCACCACTGTCTTGGCGACGTTAGTGCCCCAGTTATTGATCCAGCCGCGATTCACCTGTTTGTCACAAACATAAGTTAACGCGTTATCGTTTTTCAGCGTACAGATCAGCCTCCAGGTGGCAAGAATCGTGTGCAGCCCTTACCTCCAAGAACAAAGGGATGAGCTTGTTGATGAGTGGGTTGACATATTTAGCCATAAATACGTTCCCGAGTTCGGCCTGTAAGCACAGTAAAGAAATTGTGCAAACGCGTTGAGCATTCAGGAAAGAGCGAGGGAGTAGAGCACTCGGGAACACAGCGTGCGTGCTATTTCGTGGCACACTCTGGGAATACAATACGTGTGTAAAATTCTTTATTACCTTAATTTCGTCGAATTTCCAGGTGTCAAATCGAATCCAATTAAGGTTCAGTGTTCCGTCGGCATTGACGATCATATCGGCTGTGGCCGTTCCCTTGAAGCCCTTCATCTTTAATCTATACAGAAACAAGTGTACACTGATAAATAAAGTGTTCAACTGGCGTGCACATGCGAGTGCTCAACACTACGTTGCACACTTTTAAGTGTTTGACTGGATATTTAAATACTATGAAGTGTTTAACAGTAAAGTGTGCAACTTTGGGGTTGGCAATGAAGCTTTGGACCCTTTAAAGTGTTTACATTTACTGTTGAACACTTGCAACTATTCAAATTTCCCGTCCAACACCTAGAGTGTGTACCATAGTGTTAAACACAACCATATGCATGCCAGTTGCACACTTTATTTACCAGTGTAAGAAAAACCTCTCGTCAAACCGAAAATCAAATTTTACGAATGCCAAACACAATGTAGTCCCGGATATACAAACAAGCGCAAAATCTAATGTATCTTATGTGTTATGTATATTGGATATTGGACGAATTTGTAGCAAAGCCGTATGCAACCATCAAAACTGTCGGTCGATCGGTCGACGCACTTATTTTGATAACATTTGTGCACCTGCCGTCCTCTCGACTCGACAGCCCGACGAGGTCCTCGGTCCTCCTGAAAATCGTCCGCGTCTACTCGTTTTTCGAGTGTTGATGAGCAATGGTCGTGTACTTGCGAGCGACTTACGTAACGGGCCCCTTGCCTCCGCTGAGGTTTACGTCGAAGAACCCGATGGTAACCTTGCCATTGATCTCGTACTGGCCGTCGACGTCCACCTCCGGCACCTCGATGGACACCGATAGTTGGTTGGTGCCCTCGATCTGCTCCATTTTGTTAATAATGAATGCAGAAACTCCAGACACGGCCACCTCGCTAGCCACGGCAGAAAAGCTGCCCGATAAAAAAAAACGTACATATTTTGACTCAAGGGAGTAAACACGCAACTTTATCTGCTCGGCTGCGGTAAACGGCCTTCCCTAAAAGTCAGCTGAGCTCCGATTTCGATGAAATTCAGCACATAGATGTTTGTTTACGAAACGCACAGGAGTCCCCACGCCACTAAAATGCATTTTAGCGTTTTGTCTAAATCGGAGCGCTTCTGATTTTCAGGGAAGACCGTGTTAATGATACCACCCAATTTCCGCATCGATAGATAGAGGGAACCGCAGAAAGCATTTTGACTTTTAGCATCTCAGTGTTTCTGTAGGTTACAGTTGAAACTGAAACTTACTCGAAGGGTGATAGCTTGACGTCCACGGGCATCCGGTGAATGACGGCTGGATCTAGCACCGGGATATTGATGTCTGACCGGCCGTTGGGCATCATAGTGCGGAAATCTTCGAGGAGCTGCAACACTCTAAAGTAGCGTTGGAGTTAATTAATCCCTCACAGCCCTTCCTATAGAACCAACGAGTGAAAAAAAAATCGGCTTTTCGTTCAGAGTCGCTGTTAGCAATGCGTGTTGCCTTCGGTGTTGCCTATTCAACGGATCGGCGTATAGGGCGAGTACGCAGATGCGTGTTACAGGGGAAAGGGGGGGGGGGGTTAGAGTGGCACTTGAAGCGATTCGATGAAAATGATTGCGCCTAGGGTAAGAAAACATTCTTTGGGTTATACCCTTTTTTTGTTGAGGGGAACGGGCAAACTCGGACAACTCTAACATTTACCGCATTTGCGATGCATGCAAAACTTTCATTAAATGTAATATTTCCCTTAAGCAAGGTCAACGGAGCGGCGCGGGCGGCGTGAGGTGTGTTGTTACCGCAATGTGTCACGATTAACACCTCGGTCATTTTAAGTGTGTCTTGACGACGCTCGTCGTGCTCCTCTCCACCTTGATAAAGTCTTAACCGTGCCTGGCCTACTTACCTGTCGACTAAGGAGGAGGACTTTGTTTTCGAGTTAGAGCCAGCAATAGTCAATGCGAGCCTGTGCAGTATTTCCCTGGCCTCGTCAGAGACGTCCCAGTCGTTCTCATTCACTTCAAGGACCGCGGGAAGGTGGGCATGTACCAGCTGTGGCTTGCCGTTGATGGCGTTTAAGTACTTATTGATGTACAGCTTGCCCTTCGACTCCAGGAGGGCGTTGATCTTGTTGCGGTTTGACTAAGAAAGAGAGGCTGCGTTTATCAATCTCCGTCAATCTCTCAACCAATAAGAAGTATGTGCTTTGTCCGCTAGTCCCAGCTAGAACTGAAAGTCGAATCGACTTTCATTGCTACGTAGACCCCAAAACCTTGCCCCGTCTTCTCACCTTAATGACAGTGGGCACGAGCGTGTTGATGAGCTTATTGACTGTCTTTCCAATGACACCGCCGCCGGCCAGATTCCCCAGCGTGATCTGTGCAATGCAGGTGTAAGATTAGGTGGTATACCATTACCTGAGTGGCAGTTATGTCCCGCGCCTGGCGTCACTTGCCTCAACTTTCTTGTAGCTCCATTCGTTGATCTGAAGGCTGTTAAGGCTAAGGGACCCGTCATCCCCTACGATCAGGTCGGCCGTGCCTTCACCCTTGAGGCCCTTGAGGTTGACCCTACGAAGCGGTGCCAATAAGAATATGTTACACTAAAAATCGTTTCGAGTCGATGGATGCAGATCTTAAAGCGGTCCCCGCATCAGCACACCTTTGAACATGGGCAGATCCAGGTCGGGTCTGAAAACTGATTTTGGGGGAAAGGGGGGGGGGGGACGCACGCAGTTTGCCAATTGACATGCGGCCATTTGTGCTTTTTGTCGGGAGCTATCACGGTTTTTCTCTTTTGAAGGGGGAGGGGGTATTTCACTTGCACCTGCCTTCGAAATACCATTAGTAAAGTGCAAGCCATGAAGAAGTGCTAATGCTCATCTTACCTTAGGGGTCCCTGACTGTTGAGTTTCACGTTGATGAAGCCGACCTTAACCTTGCCCTTGAGATCATATTGACCATTGGCATTCACTTCGGCGATCTCCAACCCGACGGACACCTTGTTTGTGCCCTCAATCTGCGAGATCTTTGTGATCGTGAAGTCCGAGGCGCCGGCCACGCTGACGTTGCTTGCGATGCATTTGGCGCTGCGAAATGCCGAGAGGGTTAAGATTTGTTTGCGGGTCCGGGCCTAACACGCCACCTTACAGTACCGTGCGTTAATCCCACGACACGACCGTTCGCGGGCTTGCCTATAGCGAGTAAACCCGCTCCACCCGTTAAGAAGGCACCCTGGCACCTAGGGTATGCACTCCGCAACACTGTTGTGTCGTGGCACTGACACGCGCTACAGGGTGTCCAATTTGCCCCGGTGGATGCACTAGTTGGGCAGACTTGCCAGCGGGCAGCCCGCCCGACGACACCTATTGCCTCTTGCTGCCCTGCCCGAGAGCGTGCCCTGGCCTGGCCGGTCTACCTAACTGCTGCATCCTACGGTGGAACCTACATCGTATATTTTTCTTACTTAAATGGAGAAACCTTGATGTTGACGTTGACTGTCTTGATAACAGCCGGGTCCAGCACAGGGATGCCGATGTCCGCTCTTCCTGCGGGCATCATCTCCTTGAAGCCCCCGATGACGTCCGCTACCTTTTTCTCCAGGTCCGTCTCGCTCTTGGCTCCGATCACTGCCCCCATGGCCAGCAGCATGGCCAGCAACATCCCGCGCGGGAACGCCATTTTTTTATGTGCGTGTCGAAGAAAACTAGCTGAGGAAACGGACTTGCGATCAGCCAGTTAAACACTGTGGGTCTTCTTGGTGGTGTGGGTGTTGGATGCCAGCGCCGTTGTAATCAAAGCGACCTCTCGCCGTCCCCACTCACGGAAAGCGAGCCACGTTATCTACTCACCCTTCAGTCGATCATCGCGATTAAAAGGAGGTGATTGGTCTTTGATCGTAACTGGGCAGCATCTGCGAGGATCGCCCCTCCCCCGGCGCGCGCTCAGAAACACGCGGTATAACATAATATTTCATCACGAATAGACAAAATGTAATATCCAAAACGTGAAAAATAGAAATGTTTTAGAAATGAAATGCGCCAACCGACGGAGGAAGCAGGGTGGCAGGAGGGTTTTTGGTCTCTGTATTGCTTGTGTTTTTATTTCGGTGATATTTTTGGGTGAATTGCCTTGTTACAATGATTTAATTTAGTTCGAGGTTGCAATTTTTAGAGCGTGGTTTTCAGGAGAGGTGGTTGAGATTGTTTCCACAGGGTATGGCGCGTTTACGTCGCCTGTTTTTTTTTTTTTTTTTTTTTTTGCTCGGATACTGTACCGCATCGCATGCAAGGCGTGCGGGCGGGCTTGCCCATCGTCGCTCACCAGGCGCCTTCAGGCCCCTTTGCGACTATGCACCGTCCGCATGCTGTATAATAAAGGCAACAGAACAGCCGGCACAAACGTGCCACCCTGTATTTCTATGCATTAAGTTCTTTCATTTTGACAATATGCTAGATCGTATTTTACACTTCGCACTCAGCGTTCCTAGCGCCATTAATGGCGTTCCTGTCCAGCTTGCTGAATTGACTTAGAACGCTCTCATCGAACCATGTCTTGACAACGCACCCGGAGTACTTATTAATCTTGCAGTTCTGTCCGAAGTACTTCTTGCACTTAGCGGCCTGATTGCCATCGTTGATAAGTGCCAAGTGACCACCCTTTGAGTTGAACGGATCGTACGGCTATATAATGCATAACAGACATTAATGATTAGGAGATGCTATGAGTCGTACTACCCAGAAAAAGCATGGTTTAAAGTACACTTACGTTGGCGAACTTGATGAAGTAGTTGCCCTCAGCAAGAATGTTTGCTCCGAGCTTTGGTTCAATGCCAGTGTGTGGGTTTGTGTCGAACTCATTTCCGATAAGGTGGACAAAGTTCTAAACAAAATCAAAATAAATTGTCACTGTCACAAATGCACAGTTTGACTTTGAAATGAACGGTTTCAGTATTAAAAATTTCCCCGTGGAGTTGTAAATATATTTTACGAGTATGAGTGCGTTAAATAGCACAGAGCTAAGCAAACTTACCCAGGATTTGCTCCAGCCACCGGTGTGGGGTGTCCTGCCGGCTGTGTTCACCACGCGGTTGTTGAAGAGGGTGATCTCGTCGTGAGTGCCCCAGAACAGCCACACCCAGTAGTGCTTGCCGTCACAGAATGCTGCGTTACTAGACGTGCCGTCGAACAAGCACGATGAAACGGTGATGCCCGTGTTGCTCTTCTGGTAGGACACGAGATGTTGGCGTCCGATCCTCTGTAACCGAAAGAAAACGCCAGCGGTTAAAACTTAAAGGCGGCACTCGGAGTCGGGTTTTGATACTGAAATGTGCATTTACCTTGAAGGTACATTTGTGGATCCACACGTTCTTCACGTTGTCGAACGCGAGGGCGTCCCCAGCCCAAATAACTTCCGGATTGATGTCGCTGATGGTTATACCCTGGATGATGACGTTTTGCGCGTCCTTGATGCGCAAACCCTTTCCCTTGATGGCGCCTTTACCGTTGTAGCTGACGATCGACTTGTTGGAGCCGACTAGTAACTCAGTCGTGCCGGCCTTGGCGTACTTGACGGTAGTTGACTTCTTGCCGTTGCACGTGCCGGCGTGTGCCAGGGATTCCTGGAACCCGCTGCCGCACTTCTGAAAGTAGCACCCAGTGGTGGTCGCCCATCCTTCACTATTAGTGAAGTCGTATGTGCGGTCCAGATTGATGATGAGCTTCTGGTTGCTGGCCAGGTAGTTCTTCAGCTCGTTCGTGTTCCTAGGCGTTACGGTCTTTCCTGCGATTAAAAACAAAATGAAAACATTTTAAATATGCCGCTAGTGCAATTATGTCCGCATTCAATGCACACCAACCTCGCAACTAACTCATTGTGTTAATGTAAATTTGAAAACGGCGGTAAATAAGTGTGTTTAGAGCTTACCTCCTGCGCCTCCAGTCGTCCTGTAGCCGAAGCCGACGGGCTTGGAGATGCAGCCCTGCTTCCACGTGAACACCACCGTGGGCAGAACGCATAGCAGCAGCAGACTTAGCCTAAGTTGCATGTTGGCGGGGCTTGGTCAAACGAATGGCGCCAACTGTTTTGACAGAGCGCGTTTTTATTCTGTCGCGTTTTCCCGTCTGAGGTGAAAGAATATCCGTCGTGCACCACGATTCAAGCGAACGAGCGCACGCTCAAGCCAATATCTCTACAAATAAAAATGTATCTACGTGTTCTAAAAAGCCGATGTGACAACAAGCCACACTCAAGCGCCTAACAAGCAGAAAAAAAAAGTAACGACAGTACATAATTTTACGCTACTTTTAATGTGTGAAACATGTCACAAAGCTCTTTTTTTTGCGGCGGGGGG